TGCTCGGCCAAGCGAGACGCTCGCAAATTAAAACGATGCCATTTTAACGCGGGTAATGCACTTGTCGTGTAACGGAAATGAGGCTCGAACAGATGCGAAAACCCGTAAATATCGATATACAATTTTCAGCACGACCTTTTTGACCCGAACAGCACATCTGCGGAGATCTAAAAAACAGTTTAATTCTTCAGACGCGGATCTTCTTAAATATTTCTTGAATGTTTTACGGAAATTAAACATTGTTTCGTGAAAGACAATTCTTCATATGAAAAGGAAGCTGTTCGCTTTAACGGTTCATTGTAAGATGTTTCATACAACGAAGAAAAAGTCATAGCGCCATTCGAAAATGTTCCCGCGCGTTGCGTCTCGGTGAAAAACGAGGAAGAGTGGCCGAATGAAGACATTAAAGGTACCGTGTCATTAGCTGTATTTAAGTCCGCTTTCGAGCCTTTTTAATGAAGAGTGGATCGCGCGCGTGCATTCGGAAAGGAAAAAAGCGAACGAGGCGAAGCGAATCGCGCTGCAGACGGATATTATTATTCTCTTCCTCCCGCTCTCGTCTTACAATTAGACGCACGTTAACTTTTGTTGGTCGTCGGGGCGTCGAGCAATTTCATTCCTCGCAAGCTTCCTGCCCGCACAAAACGCTTGTTCGAAAACGTTTCACATACACACACATATACACACGTAGTACGTACACCACGTCATTGCTTCCCTTTAAATTCTCTTCCGCGCTCTTTAATGAAGCGCGAATCGCGAGACGGCCACACCTTCGAAATTTTGCTGCGTGTATTCTTCCGAATCATCATCGCACACCTCCATTGTCCGACGCGCGCATATTACACGCTGCGTTTAATTATTTGGACTTCTTCGTAACCTTCGTCATGCACCGGCGCGGGGTCTCCCTCTTTCTCTTTCTGTCAAGAAAATTTAATTAAATGCACGTAATAAAGTTCTCGATGTTTTCTGTGTATTTATAGAATATTTGTATAGGTGTGTGTTCTATCTATGATATTTATGACCTAAAATATTTATTTTATATATAAAATTTTTTTATCCCGCGTCCAATTCAATGTTAAAAAGACTTGATGCTCGTGAAATTGTTAACAGGAATCAAATAAGGCCGATACGAGCCATTCGCAGGATGTTTGTGCGGAAACTATGCGTGTACAAATATATATATATATAAATGTAACGAATTTTACTTGTAAAATTTTTTACAAGTATTTTTTCAATGTTAAAAATTTTTTTTTGTTTTTCTCGATAATTTTCAGAAGAATATCCTATCTATGATATTTATGATATCTAAAATATTGATCTACAATATTTATTTTATATATCAAATTTCTTTATATATAAAATAAATATTTTAAGTCATAAATATCATAGATAAGATATTCCTCTGAAAATTATCGAGAAAAACAAAAGAAAATTTTTAACATTGAATTGCACGCGTGATGAAGTTCTCTGTACCTTCTGTGTATCTCTGAAATAGTTGCAAAGATACATCTATAACATTTTTATCTCAAAGTATTTCGCATGAAATAAATTTTCTATAAAACGAATATCAGGAAACTACGAGAAAAATGTTTCAAGAATATTTGTTCTCTTTTTTCCATACAAATTTTTTACGCATTTGCATTGAGTTTTGGCAACGTTGGACAGTTTCACCTAATTTGTCGTGATTGCGAAGGTAATTGCCGCCCCGTATAAACGGTCAGGTTTCACGGAACTAATTTCCGGCTGTTAACGGTGTTTGTTCCCGGCGATTTGGTTGCGCAAAAGACCCTCCTAGCTCAAAGGCGCGTCTTTAGTGGCGTATCGCCAGCGGCATTTTCTGATGTTCTCTCTAATGAAGCGCGAATTACTCGCGCCTATGATATCGCGAAGCACGCACTCTCAAGATTGAAGCTGCAGCTCTGTTGCAGCGCTGCGTGTTTTCTCTTCCGTCTTACGCGACTTCACCAATAACACACACACACACACAATGGTGAATAATTAATTTCCAGTATTGTTTATTATTATTACTAACTGTTGCGTCTTTGCTCGCACTTGTGTAAACGCAGAATTTTCATCTCGCGATGTAAACATTTTTTGTATTCGCTCGTAAAATAACAAATACAGCGGCATGTCAGACTCATCAGATGTTCGTATCGGCGGAACTGTCGCCAACATAAAACAATTTCGGCGTCCACAAACGGGAGAGGATCGCGCGCGCATCGCAGAGCAAATTCGAGCGATTGAGCTAAACTGGCGCAATGGATAAATTGCGGTTAACGTCGTTCTTTTTTTTAATGTCCTCTCTTCGTCTTCGCTCTCTTCGACAATCACCGATAGGCGGACCAAGCGTCAGCGTCACGATTGTTACGTTCAATCAGTCTGCGGTTTGTCGGCGCCATTTCAAAAGCCGCGCTCTCCGCGAACAAAAGCTTTCGCGGAACAATCGGCTCGAGAGAGTGTATATAAACGTACTACATCTCTTCTCGCCGGGAGTGCGCGTTCGCGAGTTTCAGACACACAATAACGCGACGTTCAAGTATACGTGCAATTACGCTTCTGATTTCTCTTGATTAGTTCGCCTTCGAAACGGGGCGAATTAAGAGCGAACTTTGTCGGATAATCCCGAGTATCCATCATCATGATTACGTTTTCTGAGGAACGTCTTAATCAAGGCGAAATCCCTTATAATTTTCGATTAACGTTGGACTACGGTAATCCCGAGAAAAAAAGAGCGAAAGAGAGAGAGAGAAAGAGAGAAAGACAAAGATGCGCGTAACGACGCACCGTCGTAACATGCCTTAATTGGCTCGCAATTAATAATGCATGCTCGTGTGCATCGTTTGCGCAAGCGTTGCGCCCGTATGATCCCTCTCTGCTCGCCAAAGAGCTCGAGCATCGTTCGCGCAATCCTTGGTGCGGAATCTGAGCGTGATTGTGGCTCATTTACACGCAGTGGCGTTGAAAAACTATAAAAAAAATTTGTTGGTTACCGACAAATATGCGTTGATGGGAGAAACTATTTCTAAAACCACATCATGATTTTTTAAAACGCGAATTTTAAATGCATTGACATCGTGTTTTGTTGTAATAAGTAAATGAAATAGGTAGGAATAAAAACAAAATGCTTCTTGAAACATCTTGTAACGTGTGTAACGCAACAGAAGATTACATTACGTAACTTTGTTGTATTTACACGCGTTGCTCATGCTCACAGCCTTGAAAATCGCGTTTGAATTATTAGCGAGTTCGTACAACGCGTTCCTTTATCTTGCCGATACAAAACGCTGCGCGGAAGCACGCGGAGAATGCGATTGCCGTCGATTCCAACAACTTAGCGCGATGATGTGCAATGTGCGATAATTTGCCGGGGCGGATCGCCGCCGCGTATTTCGCGAGATTTACGACGTAGACCTGAGGCGGCGGGCATAAATACCGCCGCCGTTGTACACGCTCGCACATTACGTCGCGTTATTAAGGCCGTCAACTGCTACTACCACAGCTTGCTTGGCCAAGTACAAATGATTGACGTAATGCGACGATCATTGTGCGTGAGAGAAACTCGCGACTGAATTCGACCGTCCAGCGAAACGGTTTCACCGAGCACGTCTCGCGCGTTTGATCCGGTCGTTTGAGAGAAACACACCGCGACGTGTTTGAAATTCTGTAACGTCGTTTGTCGCAATCATGACTCGATTTCTTTCAATGATGACACACTCGAAATTAAATCCAAAAAGAATGACTACGTCGGTTCAACTTTGAACTGTCAATAATTTCACGATTTCACCTTGAAACGTTTCGACAAACGTGAGTTAGAACTTTTAGGAACGCTTGGCTTCTGTTGCGACTGTTGCGTGATCGTTTAGTACATAGTTGAAGTATTAAGTTTTCTTTTAATTTAAAAAATTCTAAATTCTTGAAAGATTCCTTGTGAAGATCAATAGAGTTTTCTCACACATTTTTAATTTGTTTTTTTACAAATTCTACAAACTTTCACAGAGTCACGGTAATTGACGCGAGAGATTTTCTCTATCACTGTAATATATTCGACGTTGTATTAAAGTCGTAATTGACATAGCGTTTGTTAAAAGTTTAAAAAAGTCTCTGTACGCACATCTCTCGAACGTTTGCGAGAAATCATTCGTGCATTACTGGAATGAAATCAAATTACAGCTTGTCTACATGTAATGCGTACTTATGAGAAAATGCTCAAGGCATTGAATTCAATATTAAAACCTAGCTGCGATAATCGAATAGCCGCAATAACGCATAATATACTACGGCAGCAGACGTTACGCAGAATAGTGTTTTTATCTGTAAGAGAGAGAGAGAGAGAGAGAGAAGAGAGAGAGAAGTCATCAAAGCAACGTAAGCCGCGCGTACGTAAAGTATAATACACGCGGAAAGCACTTCTAAATGCGGCAATGATTTGTGCGCGGATTATGCAATGCACTTCTACTAAGCACGTACAAAGATATTCTTATCGTTATTTATCACCGAACTAAACGAACGAGTGGACGGAATAGCAATAACAAGTTACGTGTTCCTTTTCTCATTGTATAGTTTAGAGAGAAATAAAAAGAAAACCGAAACACATTTTTTAATATAAAATCTACGTAATTTGTCAGTTTTTTAATAAGTTTTTATGTGGAAGGCAAGATCTTTAAATTTTGCAGCAATCATATTTTCTGCGAGAAACGTAACGAGATTTTATTTTCCTTGCTATTAGCGTAGAATAAAAATGAAAATTGAATCTTAGTGCACACAACTCGTCAATGCCATCGCGTAGATGCGGATTAATAAATACGCCGACGCGCGATTTCAAGTTCGTTCGTTCGTTCGTGCGTGCGTGCGTGCGTGCGTTCTCTTCCTGAAACGTCATTAATGACTAGCGGAACCAACCGTGTTTTAATTGCGATCGAAACGGCCGTTAGAAACTGCAAACGGCCTCGCAATAAGAACAGCCGAGTAGCTAATAGCGCAATCTCATTTTATGTTTGCAGGCATGCGCGCCACGATACATATGGTTCTCCTTGTCAACGCCGAAGAAGAGCTCCGATACCAGCGGAGGCAAGGAATCGACGGTGGGAAACAGAAGAGAACCGGTGGGCACGTGCTGGGTCGTCGCCAATAACTTCAACGAACCCCAGGAATACTCCCCTTGTCGAACGAGTGAGTCTCGATTTAACAACTTTCTATAAAGTGTATATTGACAAAGCAAACAACCGACTCTTCTCGAGTTCGAGATCTAAAAACTTAGAAACGGGGGGAAAAATTTCAAGAAAAAAATTTAACGTCAACTCGATTACGTTAAACTCCCCACGTGGTGTGCGGTTGAAGCAGCAATTAAAATTCAGTAAAAATAAAATCTCATTGCACGCGCGCTCGCATCTCGCGCGCACTCGTCGCGCGCGTGTTATTTCAGCAGTCCGGAGAAAGTGCACTCGTGGTGCTCTTCTGTCGCCTCCGCGACCACTTCAATTGTTAACAAAACGATCGCTCACCGAAGACTTCCGTTCCCTATCGAAAACGACTTTGCGTGTAGAGTAAACAGAACGGGGGCGTATGGGCGAATGTTTAATTTTCACTCTCGGCGTCCTCACCGACGTCGCCGGTGAATCGAATCTCTCGAGGGGTGGTACGATTTATAGTGCGCGCGTCGCGTCGCGTCGTCCGGATATAGCTCGGTTTACAAGAAAGAACGACGAAAAAGAGGTGTCTTTGAGAGATTTTTGTGAGTCTGGAACTTATACGTTCGCGACGAGCGCACGGTTGTAAACAGACACTCTCGAAGGCAGAAAACGGAGTCGAGCGTCCTCCGAAGTGCAAGAGGGTAGCTTTCACTCTTGTGTACCGGGAGTATGCGAGAGCCCGACGAGAGTCGACTCTCGTCGACTCTCACGAAAGGACGAAGAGAGTTCTCGCGACTGTACAAGAATCGCGACCGACACATGGTCGTGTATCCTCCAAGTACGGTTGCCATAAATACGCAGCGTGTAACAGGATACTTCCTGCCGGACACGTATAGGTCTGCATTTAATGACAAAGGACATATCGACTTTCGCTGCCGTGCCCGACCGTTTCGAGATGATTTATCTAAGATAACGAATCTAATTGGCGATGATCTCAGTACTTACATCAGCGAGTAAGCGATGCGGAATAAAGTTTAGTCCCATTTTGATGTTGCAATAAAAAAAAAAAAAAAAAAAAAAAAACAAACATATTCTGTGTAAATAAGTAAAATTAATTTTCTGGTGTCGTAAAATAAAATTTACGACGAACTAGATAACAAGGACAAATTTCTCGCGGAGAAACTTCTTCCCCGTGTAAAACTTTTTTTTCCAGTTGTGACGTCAAAACGTTGTCGCGTATTTTGTCTGGCAGCTTTCCAAATAAACATTATCAGAATTCACGACCGAAGCGCGGTCGGGCGAAAAATCTTCGCGCAGAGCGCGGAAACGAACGCGCGCAGCCGCGCGACGTGAGCTCATCGTCCAGAAATTCCGCGACGATCGCGCAATTAAACAATTTGTAGAAGCCGAGCGTTGAGCGAAAACGAACGGCTTAGAACGAATCGCTTCTCTCTGAGAATCGTACAGTCTTTGCGGCGAAACGCTAGATAGATCTCACACACAGCGTCGTCGTGTCAACGTTATTTTATCGCGCGCCAACCGAATCAAGTTTCTAGAACAGAAACAAGCTTTTCTAGAATAGACGCGTTTACATATCGCGTCTTGCTGTATCTTTGTTTGAAACTTTGCTGAACAAAGGCAAATACAATCTGTTGGTGAATTATATAACTTTTTTTTTTTTTAATGATTGCCATTTAACATTTATATCTTTGTGCCAATTTATGTGGCACAAATGCGCAAAAAAAGAAACAAATACAACCGCCAAGAAGGAAAAATGTTTAGCGCAGCCAACAGGAGAGAAAGAAAGCAAGAGAGAATTGCAGTAAGTGCATTCCTCGATGAAAGGCGCCCACTCGCTTGAGTGGCTGGGAGGCATTGAAAAAAAAATAATAATAATTAGAAGGCGCCTCTCTCTAAGGCACTAAGACTGCACCATTCTAACGAGGCCAATTAACACTTGATCCTACTTGAATTACGATCGGGCTGCTGATCTTGCCGTTTTATTGCAATAATTTTTTTTTTTTTCAGAAACATATAATCGCATATTGTTAATTCCTCAATTAACGCATTAAATAAAACATAATTAACCACTTTTTTCTGTAATAAAACTGATATCAATTTCACACGATGAAATTCGTCGATTTGCGCAGTAAAAAAATGAGATACAGAATTATAATTAATAGCGAACTATCTGAGAAGGAAAATGATTTAATAAAAGAAGATAAAAAAGTCAATGACGAGGATGTGTATGTATTATCTGCCGCGATTTTCTGCGGTCGGCCTATTTCTAAATAAAAGAAATGACCCGATAATGCGTATTGAAGATACGTAATCGCGCACCGACACGCACGCGCACGTGGACCAAGAATTACAGTAGTCCCATTCATTGCTCGTGGCTCGATTAAGGGTCGGTCGTACTCGATTCGAGTTGTGGTCTCTCTCTCCTGTGTAACACTCCGATTTCTTTATTAGGCGCTTCATCACCAAACTCATTCATGGCCAAAATTACTCTCTTGTTTTGATGTTTTTTATCCTTCTTTCGCTCCCCTGCTCGAAGCAACTGTTCGTCAGAAAGAAACGAGTTAGTTTTAAATCCAATCCCGTATGTGTGAAAGAGCCATTGTGCGCGTGTGTGCGTATCCTATTTTAAGATACGTCGAGATATATATATATTTCGAAGTTCGCGCCGGAACCCAAAAAAAGAAAAAAAGAATCGCGACCGTTTCCTTGTTAGGCGGGAAAAGTTTCTCTCTTCCACTTGTCGTCGGTGTCGACTCGAGTTTGAGAACGGTGTGGTCTTTTTACCGACGAGAATAGCGCACAGGAGAGAAGGATTATAAATAGATCGACCACCGATGGTATCGCGGTCGAACACGTCTGTTATTACAATGACGACTGCAGCGGCACGAGCAATTCGTAACACGAACGACGTAATTGTTATTAAAGAATGAATTCGATTATCGAGTGTCTCACGAATTTACACGAGAAAATACGCTTTCCCGTTCTTGTCGCGATTCAATGACAGTTTTCTCATTGATAAGTAAAATAACGGGTTGATGGATTTCCTTCGTGGAATTATTTAAAAAAATCTTTTCACTCCCTCGAAGTTTGCATGTAGATAAGATGGTACACGCCTCTGTTTTGGATGCGATTGCATGTCACCGATGCTCCGACGAGTGGCGCCGGTCGACCGCTTTGTATTTCTGCTTTTTCGCGACGCGATCGAAACAGCGAAGACGACCGGATTGATGTAATTGCGTGACTGACAGCTCGTCTAAAGTGACCGATCGGCTGTCAAGGGGCTCGCTACCGAGTCGAGCTCGTAATGTATGTATGTGATACGTGCGCGTATGTAGAAGGTTGGGTCCTCTGGACGGACGGAGCCACACCGGATATTTCTCTTACATACACACGCCCCCACACTCGCGCGCGTTTTCTTGCGAGAGCTCTCTGCAAGTTCGCCGCGGCGACCGCGCCGGAATGGCACTGACCCTGTCAGTCGACTCCTATCGGCGACTGCGAGCCGATAATTTGCTACTTCCAGTTAGCGACTAATTACAAGATCGATGACATTAACGGGTCGATCGTTGTAATTGCTACCGTTTTCTCTCTCTCTCGTGAAAAAATTATAAATATTTTTTTACACGTGTGTGCGCGTACGTGTGTGTGTATGAATCACGAGATATAAAACATTTTTATCTTCATCGAAATACTTCTTATAAAGTCAACGTCGATTTCGTGGACCACACTGCCATTATTACCATCCATATCTGAAAGTGCGGTCGCGTTATCTGTAGACGTTAATGAGCGTAGACGCTGGTTTTTTCCTCTGTCGTATGATTCAACGACGAAACGTCGAAGCTACACACTTTCTTTTTTCGTAGCACTTCGAACGAGGAAAATGAATCGCAAAGACGTCGCGGCGAAAGATCGATCTGTGAAATTAATGACGCGTGTATACACGCACCAGTTTTCCTCGCACGTACATATGTACGCGCAGCGAATATCTTTGAAGTGATATGCCATTTTCATTTCCTGGTCGATAACACGTGAAATTCCAAGAATTATGCAACAAGGAAAATTGTAATTGAATTTTTCTCTTTAAATTCTTAGATTCGAAATTAAATCAAATTTTCACCAAAAAATATTGTTGCTGTTATGTTGTCCCGATTTTTCCGACTTTTAAATACTTATTACGCGCGCGGCAGTGGAGAATAATTTATTTAACGTCGTCGTCGAGATATATGACGTCTCTGTTCGAAAGAGTCGAGGATGATATAAGTATAATTGTCTATTTCCGTTTTAGGGTACTGGGGATATCACAGGCAGGGTTCTTGTCAGGCTGGCATAGGAGCCGCAATAGCCAAGGTAAGTCAAAATATTTTTCAGTTGTAAGAAACACACGAGCTATCGTCGCCCGAGATAAACATCAAAGTTATTTTTAGAATAGAAGGAAATACTTCGAATTTTTTAATATATCCACTCAAGTGTAATTCAAAACTGTGTTAAAAATTATACCACTTTTAAATGCGTTCAAATTTTAGCATTCTAAAAAGCCGCGCACATACGAGATTACGCCGCGCGATTTAAGTGACAAGCGAACGCGCTTCGCGCGAATATATAAATACGGTGAACACCGCAGCGTGTGTCTTTCGGTGGCCGCGACGTCCTGGGAGAGTTGGAAGGCGACACGAGGGTGAATCGGCGTGGGCCGAATATGGCCAGGAATGCGAATTCCTACCTTACGCACCTTCGTCGTACCGGAGGCATTCGTATTCGTGCCGTGGCGCATCCGCGCGACTCGCCCGATCTCCGGGGACCTTCTCTCTCTGTGTACGATTGTCTTGTCCAAAGCTCGACTCTCTCTCTCCGCCGCTCTCTCGGCGGAGACCCGGAGGAGAACCACGTAGGCGTCTCTCCCCCGCGCAGTTTGCTCGCTTTTCAACCCGAGATTCATCACCGGCTACGTACCGCTCGGACGTGGGACGTTTGTTGCACCTGCACACAATCCCCACGCGTTGATATACCCACTTCATCCCGCGATCGACGTTGCAATAAATATCGGCAGCAGCCGTCGACAAATCGACGGTAGCGTGCGCCGCGATTTTCACCTGTCGACGCAATGAGCGGTTTTACTGCTCACAAAATTTTTCCCATGTGTTCAAACGTTCTTAAAGATTTAATTTTTTCATTGCAAGATATACAACAAAAAACGGAGATATTATCAAAGGGATCTTAGTTTCATGTCGGTTAAAAGAAACGCGCGATCTACTGCGGAGGAGCGAAATTGTCTCGCAAGGCACGTCGCGATCATTTTAAAGTAAGAACGATCGCAATGCGACATACTTCTGTCGTGCCGCGTTTTTCGAGTCGTTCGCGACCTAGAGACTCTGCTCGATCTAATCTCTCTCTCTCTCTCTCTCTCTCTCTCTCTCTCTCTCTCTTTCTCTTTCTCTCTTTCTTGCGACTAAGAAAATATCCTACGCGACGAAGGGTAGCGTTATCGCGCAGTGGGACGGCTTCGATTGCCGTCAAAGAAATAGTGGGACAATTCCGCGGACACTCAGCTGGTCTTATCTTGCCACGGATGTATAATTCAGAATTGCGCTGCTATATGGCAGATGTTTAATGCATGCCGCAAGAGCCGACTTCTAGCTCCGTTTCAGCATTCAATGTTAATACTCCGCCCGCGCTCCATCCCAATCGCTCGCGCTCATGGTGCATACCGCAGATGTGATAATTTCAAGTTGCCGCAAATCGACGTTCTCTCTTCTTCCTTTTTCCTCACGAGTTATTTACACGCGCTTTAAAATATATTAAGAACACTACAACTTCGTTTCAAAACATCGTGATATAAAATTTAATATTGTTTTGTTTTTTTTTGTTTACAGACAAATGTTTAGATAAAATTGATGTTTTTAAATTGAATTTCTATTATAATCTTTTTACGTGTGTATTTATTTAATTATTTCAACAATAATTCTCGGGCGATGTAACAAACATTGAACCAGTGATTTTTATAAACTGACGATTCAGATACAAATCTGATATCTCAGCAGATAGAGTCGCACAGTTCGCCCGCTTCTCTTTTCGGAAAACAAACGCTATTGTAACCGACGTAAATGCCCGTGGTGTACACTAAATCCCGCGGAGACCGTGATTTAGAGGTACCCTCTCGACGCCATCGTGAAAGCAATGGACCATCGATCTTATAACATTGAATCACCGATGCTGGTACCAACCTCTGTTGTGTCTGGTACCTACCGGCTTATCTGGCGAGCGATCCAGACGAGATCGATCGATAGCCGATCGCTATCAATCGATACTTGACTCGACTTTCCGTCCAGCTTCTCTTCGTACAATCCTCGCGATTGAAATATAAGCCTCCGAGTTCCTTTTGTATGAACTCTTTTATTTTTTTTTTTTTTTTGCATCGACTTCTCTTCATAGAAAATTCAAGAAGTCTCGGGCAAACCTACTCTCGTCACTTCTCGAATAAATAAATATAAATGCACGTTGATGTACAAATGCACGTGAATACAAACCATCCCTCTCTTTTGTCACGTATTTCTTTCTTATTTTAACACGCGCTCGTCGATTATCATATTTGAAAAGAAACATTCTGTTTTTTCTCTTCTTGTGCGCGCGCGCTAATGTGCATATACATTGACACAGATTTCACTTTCTAAGCTGCCCGCTGATTTATGCGAGGGGTTACCCTCGGTAAATTGAGACACCCGTTACGCATGGTGCTCTTGCGGTCCACAGAAAAAGTATATGTGTGTGTATATATATATATATATATATACGGTTCACGATTTTTCTGACCCGACCGGCCGGCCACTCGTCTATCCGTTCACGCATTAGTCTCGCTCGCGAAGCACAGTTTCTTGTCCGGGCTCCGTTTCTTGCCGCGTCGTACAATCTGCCGACTTGCATTCGGCATGCACTTAACCGCAGTATGCACTTACGCCGGACGCGCAAGTGTGTGCGTAACACAGCGCCGACATAAATTTCGCTCCATGCTCCCCATACATATTTGGCCGCGTAGTTATATTTCAATCTCGGACGGCGTAGCCTCCGTGTGTTTCTCCCGGCCGAGAGAGTTCGCCGCCCCAAACCTTTTGCGATCCGGCGCCAGAACACAACTCGTGCCCGGTCGTGTAGACGGAGGCGCAGTTCGAGCAGCACATCGCCCATTGTCTCGATTGCAAATTCTTCGCGTGTATAAGCGTTCGGGCCCAAGCGCCGCTCCATGGGGGGTATACATCGTGTAGCATCCCGCGTCCTCGTTCTCCTCCTCCTCCCGCGCGTTCGCTGTGTTCTCGCGTGTCGCACGAATCTCGACAAATGCACGTATTTGCTCGCCACTACTGTCCGGCTAATTCGTTTAGCGTTTTTGATAGCCGGAGAATAAACGACGGGAGTTCTTGGAAAGAGAAAAGTATCTTTGAAATCACGTCTTCACGACGCTCACACCATCCATCTAATTATATCCCGCGCGAGAGACGCATCGATCATTGTCTTCTTCTACGCTCGCATGAGTCGCTCGGACGGAGTTCGGCCGGGCCGACCTCTGATTCACCTCTCGGCATGTCAAAAAATGCATTCTTCGGGTTCGACGAACAAAACGGCTCGCCAACTCGGTATTCGAAAGAAAGAGAGAGAAAGAGAGAGATAAAGGGGAGAGGGAGGAAGATCTAGAGAGATGGACGACGCCGGAACACAAAAGTTACGGCTGTTGCACCCGGTTGCTACTCGCACCATCGAGTAAATCAGTGGACGCTGCTGGGCGTGCACGCGAGTCGGTCGCACGTTTGACATTGTTCGAACCCGACGAGGAGGGTCCATTGTTTCCGGACCGTGCGAATCTCGCTCGAACCCGTTACTGCGACTCGCAAATATAATATAATATATTCGCGAGACCGATGCGTCCGAGAAGGACTCGCATTTAAATAGAACAAGCCTGATGGCGCCATCGCCTAAATGCATCGCGATAAGTGATGTCTATCATTCGTTTGCGTATTACGTGTCGTAACGCTGGATATTAGCGGTATCTTGACCGGGCGGAGTCAGAAACGGATAGTAGTCGTTCGTTATCACGTCACTCGAGAACGAGACGTCTTGGCGAGGCGAAAAGTTGGCGCCATCTCAAAGAGAGGGCCTTCTCTCGCCGTCATTGTCGCGCACGCACTTTTCAAAGCGCGTGCATACACGCGAACGCGTGATGCGTCTCCTCCCTCTCCCTCCCCCTCCCCCCCGCGTCGTAGGTTACGAAGAGAAAAGAGCACACACGCGGAGAGACGAACAACAGGAGAGTTTCAGGTGGCCATTTAAGGCTTGGACATTTCGTTCTGTCACCGTGTTCCGTGTTCAGCGTCGTGCGACGCCGTAAAGAGGCCACCTACGCGACCGGTAGGGTCTTCTCTCTGTAATCCGCATGACTGCGGCTGCATTGTTTCATAAACGGCCGTCGTTTCTCATGATAAGCAGAGTAAAACGAAACACGCTCTTTTCGCCGTCGAGGTGCGCGCCTTCGCCACCGAGTAACGTCGTTCGTTCTCGTGATCGGCGCGTATCTCTCCTCTCTACTCTTTATCCTCTCTTTGGTCTTTCAATCTCACCTGCTGAACACTTCTTCTCTCGGCTTTGGCTACACCGAATAAATTTTCCTCGACCATTTTACGTTTATAAACCCTTCACATTAGAACATTTATTTTATTGTAACAAATTTTCAGCTCATGAAAGTTTACAAACTAGCGGACAGTCAATACGAGCCATTGGTGGCGTGCAAATGTATTTTAAAAAATGTAAATGTGTAAATTAATACATTTGAAAAAATCCGATTTCAATTTGAAAATTCTTTTAAAATACTTGATTATTTTATCTTATTTTTTTTGTATTTCTATAAATTGTTGGAAGAAAATAAATATTAATATTATAAATATATTAAATTACATATACGCTTGAAATATATAATTTGATTTATGAAATAATCATGATTTATATTCACGTCAATACATCATGTGAGTCGCAGTTACACGTAGCGAGATATTTATTCATTGCTTCGTAATCCCATCAACTTTCCTGCACATGTCTAGAATTACGGAATATAATAACGCGATTTCACGTCCGCTCTCCGCGAGAGATACAAAACGACACTCTTCGACCATAATCTAATAATCCTTGGTAACATTATTCACCACAATTACGAGATATCGCGTGTCGACGGAGGAAAAGAGAGAGAGAGAGAGAGAGAGAGAGAGACAAATCGTCGCAAAACTAAAATCTCGCGTTACACGTTCTTTCGTCTTTCCGCACACTTGCTTCCTTCGGCTCGCGTTAACGTCACACTCTTTCGTTTCCCACTTAATCCGTAGAAATTGCATCTCGCTTCCCCGCGACGCGGGATCCCGCGCGCGTGGGCGGACGCGCATCCGCGCGCGTGGGTGCGCTCGCGGGAGAGTGTAACGACATTGTTACGCGGTTAACACTTTGATCCCGAACGGGGGATACCTCGCACGGGAAATCTTGGCAAATGCCAAATGAATTTTTCATGAATTCCACGCATCGCGTATCGGAGTTTTGTAAAATGAGCCGCATCACTCGCGCGCAATATAAATTAGTTGCTCGCACGGTCGTAATTCCGTTTTATTGTTACGACGTTCAATCGTTCGGGTAAAACGTGAAATAGGTACGCGAATTTGAAAGTATAATCGCGCGAAATCTCTGGCTGAAATCTCTCTCTTTTCTTCGTTATTCGATCTGTCATCGTTCGTACATTGCATCGATCTTACCGCGCACTTGCGCGTTCGGATTCTCTCGCGATCATTCAAGTACAGACCGTCGATTAATATGTATGCGCGAGCGGTAATCTTTATTACTTCGATATCGCCGTTAGATGGACGCGTGGGTGTACATACACCGTTACGGCACGTAAAACGCGTCGACACTGTCGGCGGCCGGTTTTACAGGGTCGCGATCCCGACCCGAGAGCTCTGTTCTTTTTTCTGTTTTTTTATCACGGCAATACAAAACGAAAGCTGCTATAACCGTCGTCGTCTCGACGATAAGCAGAAGATAGTTCTCGAGTAGCATCTTCTCTTCGCAACTCTCATGGCCGGTCTCGCTATCTCCGATTGACTCAATCGGCCGATTATTTCACTGGAATTGGCCGATCGCATTTACCGGTTTAACAAAATTGACCAATCGACGCTTGACCGATCGATTAGTCGATTCTAATCGGAGCTGGCGAAACTCTGTAGAGAATCTTTTCAATATCGCTCCGTACATTTTTCGAAAACTCGGCTAATTCCGAGTAAAACTTGCATTGAATTTAAAATAAGTCTCGATGTAGATCCGCGCGTGGGCGAACTTACGCGATCGCGCATTGATTCGACGAACGGTCGGGATATACAGTATCCATTTCGCAAGTGCTAAAAGTGAGAGAAGTGCCTATACACTTTCGATACGTGGTTGCATGGGAATAAACGGGCGCGAAGGGTCAACAGCGTCGAGTACGTACGTCGACAATTTCGAGAGCCACTCGAGCTCTCACGTACCGATTCAACGGGGGTCTTTGCATCGGCAGGAGACGGTGCGCGTGTGTGTGAAACCTCTCCAGATGGTTTCTCTATATCTCGACGAGTGTTACTTTAATAATTCCTCCCTCCTATAAAGAGATATATCCCGTTGCGGAAAACAAACAGGAATAAATATGCGTTACACGTATATGTTCAGGGAGAGACTCCGGCGCAGCTCACACGCATACACACACACACACACACGGGGTACAAATGCAATTTTTTTTTTTTTTTTTTTCACACAAATCACACTCTACATTTTCCTTTCACAAGATGGCTCATTTGTTATGCCTTGCCTTTCGCGGACAATGCCTCGAGACAAGTACATCGATTTTTCCACGCCTCCGGAAACCGCCGCAAAGTCGTGCGAGTTGTTTTTCGAGAACAGTCATACGTTTGGCGCGCGCATATTGTCGGCGTGCACCGTTCGCGGTGATTAATAATTTTTGTACGGGCATAAAGAGCGCGCCGGGCGGCGGCGCACCGAGAGATCTTTGTGAGCGCGCGGACCGCGCTTGGACATTTAACGCGCAAGACAGATGTTGCGCGACAAAAGCGCGGTCACTTTTATTATCGTATCGCGGTCATAAATAATGCATGTTGCGCATTAATGCAAGAGATACCGTGCAAATGTCTCTCGCGTGTACTTACCGCGTGTCGGATACATTTTCGCGACTCGACGCTTTTTTTTTTTTTTTTTTAATTCCGAACCTTCGATCAGACTTTCCCTTTCTTTTTCTCTGCGAAAGAGTTTTTATAATAAATTATACAGATATCTTTGCGATCGGTTTTTTAAAAGAAAATTTGATTAAAATTTAAAAAACGGAGATGAATTATCAACATACACTAAGTAATTTCTTCTTCTCTAATGGAAGTTAAACGCGACTCTGAGAAAATCGTCAGACGGATATAAACTCCGTAAACCGTCGCGATTTTCATCGCGATGTTTTATTGTCCCCGATCGGGAGATGCTATCGATCTCTCTATTCTCGTAGGACGATTTTTCTTGCCGGAGACATCAAGAGACGGCGAACGGCGCTTCGCAGAAGACTCTATCGCGAAGGTTTCGCCGCAGTTTCTCTCGTGCGTTTAACATGCGTGACGCGGGTTGTGTGCAAACGCGTGCAGCAGCAAACGCGCGGCTTGCATACGTACGGGCGGTTGATTTATCGCATCGCGAGCTCGCGCACGAGCCCTCTCCCTATATCTCTCTCTACGGTATTATCTTATAAATTAAAGAAAAAAAAAAAGAGAAAAATTTGACTTTCGATCGCTGGGTGCGTCCGTTTCCTGGTGGCGCGCCCGAGGCGTCGAAGATCATTTGTCGATTCTTTTGTTTCGCGAAGTGTTTTATTCTCAACGAAAACAAAAAACAAAAAAAAACAACGAATAATGTAAAATAAAAATCAAAGATGGCAAAGATGTTGCGGGAGATAATTAGAGTTTTCGATTTTAAATTAATGACGATCGTGAAGTGGGATCGTGCGTTCCGCCGTATCAAAATCTCTTTTGATGAGAATCACGATAGAAAAAAAGAAGATGAATATTTTTCTTCTCTCATTTCAGAATGGTGAAAGAATCTTCGTAGGAGCACCGGGCAGTTGGTACTGGCAAGGTAAGACCTCGTTATTAAAAATTCTTGCTCGCGAGCGAGACGAGCGATTTTTGTCTCACGATTAAAAGAGAAATCTGTCTCTCTTACGCTACTTACGTATATATTGACGCATTTATTATTTTTCTTTTTTTCAATCACAAAATTTTCAAATCCACACGTGCGAGCGGTGCGACCGAGCGAGAAGCGGAGGAGCGGATAATTTTGATTAGCGATTAGAGCGTGCGCGATTCTAATAAGATCGTAATTAGTAATTCAGAGGGGAATTTCCTTTAACAAATTGCAGGTCAGATATACTCGATCGCCACCGCGATGAGGTTGAAGTTCGTGGCGACGATGTTAGTCACCGAAGCGGACGCATCAGGTACCCGCGTACATTTGCAGGCGTCTTTTCCCCTCCCCTCTCTCCCCCCTCCGTAATTAAACCACCCTCTCTCGTCCCCATTTCTAATAAAGCTACCATTCTCTCGTAATATGATGACTTCTTCTTACGTGCCAAATTAACCAAATGTGTTGCTTGTCGGCTTTTTCCGAGAGTGCGAGAGTTGGAGTGAAAGCCGACGATACTACAAAGTATCGCGTTAATCGCAGGAAAAAGTACTCCGGCAGGCAGATATATATCGAGAGTAACACGAGAGTATTTTCTTTACCCTATCCACACACTTGCTTGGCAGTAATTTTGATTATTTGTCGTCACGCTTAACACGACGCTTTGTTTATTAATCGTGTAATTAATTAAAATTGACGAGAGTAACCGTATCTGTTTGTGTTTCACAAACAAATTCATTCCCGCTGTATGAGTAGGATAATTTACTATATATGTATTCGATAATAATAATAATAATAGAAGAAATAGATTTTTAAGAACTTAACAACGAAACTGATTCTGTGCTTTGTTCTTTTTTCTGACAAACAAAGCTATTGGTTCTGATAGCTTTAAAACAATGTTCCGTTTCGACTACTGCCAGATAAGTGGTGGGTGATCATCCCTAACAGGTGCAGGCGCGCTTCTTACAGCTTCAGCAAGCTACAGACGCAGCAAGAGTCGTGGTAATACGGATCCGACTAGAAAGCTAGAATGCCCTTTTTAATCGGCTGGAGTTTGCGCCAGCCTTGCTACATAATGACGATTGCTTAACATTAATAACGAGAACAAATGCTAGATTAATAAATATAGAGGAAAGCTTGTCATTCCCATGTTCGTCGCATGTTGTTTTTCGCAAAGTCTTGTGATAATATAAATAAATCGCGGATGTACACACAACATGACATAAAAACTCGTTTGTTTCAAGTATTTTAATTTCCTTTTAAATTGATTTGTAAAAAAATCGCTGATGATAAGAATTCAGATCGAGAAAAAAATTTCATTGAGCGATACAAGAGTTTGCGAAACAACTTATGTAAGTTATTTCTTGACTGTGCAGCAAAAAAGGCCTAACGGCCTTTCAAAGAGATCTTCGATTACAATCGCGGTCACGAAAATACTTGCATACTCCATCAAGATACGTCTGGGATACTTCTGTCACTAACGTCGTGAAATCGTTTTGTAGGACAAGCGTTTTCGCAGCCCTTGAACAACCGCTCGAGAATAATGTACACCAAAGAAGGTCCCGCGCAAGAGGACGATAGTTACCTGGGTTATTCCGTCACGACAGGAGATTTTGTCGGTAATGGAGACAGTGGTACTGCGGTCGGAGTTCCGCGCGGTTCCGATCTTCTAGGCAAGGTACGAACTGGAGATAAAGAAGTACCGTTTACTACGGAGTAAAATAACATCTTAATAAATTTGACATGTACATATCGTTATCGCGAATGTGAAAAATACGATCGTAGGTCATACTATTCACGTCGGACATGTCGAATCCGCGAAACATCACTGGCGAGCAAATGGGAGCCTACTTCGGTTACGCCGTGGCCGCCGGTGACATAGACGGAGATGGGTTGGATGACCTGGTGGTCGGTGCACCTATGTATACAGTTCCGGACAACCCGGAAATGACCATCGAGACCGGAAGAATCTACGTTTTCTATCAGAGCACCGGTGCGGAGAAGTTCCGCAAGTTCGATACACGGTAGCGAATTTGTACACAATTTTATTTTTTTTCATGGATTATTAAAAAAAAGAAAAAAAAATTACAAAATTTTACGTTCAACGATAACGTAAAAAAGTTTTTCAGTTCAGACGCCTGATATATTTAATCGAGAATATTCTCGTTATTCTTTAAGTTCGTTAACTCTTCTAACTCAAAGGGCTAAACGAGCCCTGCATAGCGCAAGTTCGTTGAACCGCGTCGATAAAGCTTATCGTTATCCAGAGACGGCGAAAGCAATAGCGGACGTTTCGGTTTGTCACTGGCCTCACTGGGGGACATCGACCGTGACGGTTACGGCGACTTCGCCGTCGGCGCGCCCTACGGTGGCCCGAACGGTCGCGGCGTTGTCTACATCTATCACGGATCCCGCCCCGGAGTGCTGGAAAAGTACTCTCAGGTGATTCACGCGGAAGATCTGGACACTCCGGTGCAAACTTTCGGGTTTTCCGTGGCCGGTGGCCTCGATCTCGACGGCAATTCTTATCCGGATCTGGTGGTGGGTGCGTACGAGTCGGGAGCAGCGATGTTCTTCAGGTTATTATTTTGCAAATTTTGTTCTAATAAGATAATTTAAATGACGTCTTCGATTTAAACGTCGTCAAATAATTTTTGCTCGTTCTCTAGATCACGACCGGTAATCAAGATGGACTCTTCCGTGACCTTCGACTCCGAATCCAAGCTGATCTCCCTGGACAACAGAAACTGCACGCTTTCGGACACCACCAGAGTCACGTGTCTTCCGCTCAGGGCTTGCTTCGGATACACAGGAGAAGGTGTTCTTCCGAGGCACAATTTTAATATACAGTATGTGCTCGATGTGAAGAAGACGAAGAATCCGAGAATGTTCTTCTTGGAACAGGAGGGCAGGAACATGATGAATCACACGATCACGGTTGAACGCGATCGACAGTTCTGTCGCACAGTTCAAGTGAGTATTTTAGTTGGTTTCGTAATATTTTTTTGTCGCGCGTGTCAAGAGTGTGGCTTCTAAAGTGTGTGTCAACTCTCAAAGGTTTACGTGACTCCTAACATACGCGACAAGTTAACGTCGTTGGACGCCGAGATGCGTATGAGTCTGGAGGAAGATCGGATTCCGGACAATCGTCGCCGTGATCCTAGAATTCAACTGAAACCAGTTCTCGGCACGACGACCTCCAAAAAGGACACTCTCTCCATCAGGAAGAACTGCGGTCCCGACAACGTCTGCATACCCGACCTGCAGCTTAGCGTGAGATCCAACGTCGGCAAATACTTGTTGGGTTCCGGCAAGAGGCTCGAACTCGAAGTTTTGGTGCAGAACTCGGGTGAGGATGCGTTCGAAGCTACGTACAATTTGCAGTTACCGGACGGTATCGATTACATCAAGATCGAGCGTATCGAAACTCTGGAGATTCCCGTTCATTGTTCCGCGCCCAAACAATCGAACAACAACACTTTGCGCTGCGACATCGGAAATCCACTGCCGCAGAACAAACTGGTGAAGTTCAAAGTGTTGCTTCAGCCTGTGACGTCTCACGGGATGAAGCCCATTTATGAATTGGACATGAATGTCAACACCACGAATCCGGAAAATCCCATAACTACTCGCGACAACAGCTATCATCTGTCGCTGCCGATCTGGATAGAGACCGATTTGCGCGTTGACGGCGAGAGCAAACCTAAAGATCTCTACTACAATCCTGAAAACTACACTTCCGCGAATATTACGACGGAGCTTGAATTTGGGCCAGCGGTGACGCACAATTATACAATTCGCAATCAAGGGCCGTCAGACATCGTCGAGGCCGAGGCGTTTCTTATTTGGCCCGCGCAGACGTTGTCCGGGAAAGAACTGTTGTACTTGCTGGAACAACCGGAGACTTCGGGTCCGATTGCTTGCGAGCCTGCCAACGCTAATTATCTCAGTTTGAAGGTATGTATAAAATTTATTTTTTTTTACCAGAACACACAAGTGTTTTTCTAGCATGTTCATATTTTATGTCACATTAATATCTTGCGCAGCTGGATCAGCGGAGAAGAGTACATCTAAATTATCCCGACTATTCTGGTGTGATCTTGGACGAGTCGCAATCGGGAAGAACGATCAACGTTCAAAGAGGCTTCGAGGTGGACCGCAACAAAATAAATCACAGAGAAGAGACCGAGATCAACAGTGGCGACAGCTCGAATATCCAAAAGTCGAGACACTCCTCGTCTTCTTCCTCTTCTTCGTCTTCGTCGAGCACGGTCAGTGAGACCCGAAGAATTCAATTGAATCCAGCTGGAGACAAGCCCGACGTACTCACCACAACGTACACGCACAACTCTTCCGGAACCAGCTCGGTCAGTAGTGGAGACCTGCACGGCAATCGCGGAGTTGTTTTCAACTCAGAATCCGGTGGCAGCTACGGTTCTACGACTTTGGGCGGAGGATTCCGCGGTACAAAAGAGGAATCCCTCGGTTCGAGATTACCAAATCCCGAAGAGCCCTACGCGACTCGCGTAAATCATTCTGTTAGGGTGGAAAATCGTTGGGACAGCGGAGTGAAAGATGGACGTACGATTTCACCTACGGGAAGATACGACTCGGTTCTGACTGAGAGCGAGAGGCAATATCAGCTGAGGCAGCAAGAGGAGGCTCGTCAGAGAAAGTTGGAAGAAGAAGCGCAACGTAAACGGGAAGAGGAGCAACGTATTTTCAATCTGCAACGTCTTCGGGAAGAAGAAGAGCGACGTCGACAGGAGGAATGGCGTCGAGCAGAAGAGGAACGACGAAGAGAAGAAGAAGAAAGACGTAGAATAGAAGAAGAAGAAAGACGAAGACAAGAGGAACGACGTTTGCAAGAAGAAAGGGAATACAAATATAACGAGGAAAGACGCTACGGTGCATCAGCAGGTAGTCGGACCACGGAAGATGGTTTCATTACAGGTGATCGCGAGGAGACAGTTGGAGGAATTGGTTTCCGTGTGCACAATGTAACGTCTACTCAGGAACTCGAACGATTCTTCGGCACGTTATCGAAGAACGCGACTGATTATCAGATATACAATAGACAAGGACACCAGTATGTGCAGTTTAAAGCGAGATTCAGAACGTCTGCCGATAGAAAGGAATACATAGAATTCCAAGACGGTTCTATGTTCCCTCTTCAGGATCATTACGGCAGACAGAGCTACGTCTCGGAATCGACCGAGCCTCGCGATAGCAGATTTCTCAGAATAGAAGGTCGGTTACTGATCGCTCCGGATGGTAAAGGCTATATTGTGCTCAAGGACGGTCGAAGATTTCCTCTTCAAGGTTCCTTTACGTATACCGAAGAGAGAACGTACACTCTGCGCGTTCCAAATGACAGTTATCAGGATGGCAATGCTAACGGTCAGAGAACTTATGGTCATTCCTGGCAGGAGGAATCATCCAGTCGCGGTGTAACTTCAGACGGAAGTTACGAAAGGAGATATAATACACGTACGCACGAAGAGAGACGAACAGAGGAGAGAACAAGCAGGACTTACGGAAGAGATCGGCTTGATGACGATTATCTAACCGAAGGACCGGATCCCAATCTTCTGAGTTCCAGATACAGACGTGAGAGCGACATGGTCGACATCAAGGAATTCAAGAAGGCGTTCCAGCAGAACCACAGACATAGACGAGACCTCGAGACGGAAGGTGACCTAACGAACGAAGCTACGTTTCAGAATGACGACTATTATGAAAACGATCTCGAATCGGGAGAGCCAGTAGAACGACGAGATCTCGAGACAAATAGCGACCAATTAATGACCGAAACTAAGATTCAAAATGACGACTATTACGAAAACGATCGCGAATCGCAAGAGCCGGTAGGACCGTGCAGCGCCGCGAAATGCGTGACGTTGCGATGCGTGCTGGGTCCACTTAAGAAGGACCAGGAGGTCTGGATAGGCGCGAGATATCGCATAAACGCTAGAACTTTGAAGGAAGTCGCGTTCAACGAGAAGATCAAGGTGTCGACCAAGTTAGTGGCGCGTGTCACGAAGCAACCGTTCATCGGCACGCCCGCCGAGAAGGTCACTAAAGACAGCGAAGTTTTCACGAACGTCGCGCCGAGCGCGCCGCCTTCCGCACCGGATATTATTCCACTCTGGGTAGTGGTTCTGTCGGCTTGCGCGGGAATGATAATTCTACTGCTGCTCATCTATCTTCTTCATAAAGTGAGTCTAAAACGTTTCGTTAATTTTCTGTTTTGTCAATATTTTTCCAATCTTTTCTAATCTCGTCATTTTTGCTTCCGCAGTGCGGTTTCTTCAAGAGGAACAGGCCTACTGACGCTCCGGAGAGACAACCGCTGAACCGAAACGGTCATTTCCAACAAGACGAGAATCATTGAGTGGCTTCCATCTTCGTTCTTGTTTTGTTGAAGCTTACTCTGGCAATATCGCGGGGCGAATCGCGTCACCGAGTTGAAGATCCTCGGCTACGCGGCACCACGAAAAGTGCCTTCGAATGATTGAGAGAACGTACATTGCGTGGACATTCGCTTCATGTAATCGTGCGGACGCGGTCTCGACTTCTCTCTCGAATAATATCTCAGTAACAGTTCGACAGTGCCTTAATCTTCTGCGTCCGGACGAGACGAGCATTTTGCTGGGATTGCATAGAAACGTTCGTTTCACTCGTAATACTGCCACTAAATAACGAATACTCTTTCCAGCTCCTGCAGCTCGACCACGCAAGTTTCTAGTCAGGAGACGTTCTTCTTCTTTTTTTTTTTTTTTTTATTACCTGTAATTACTTAAGAGCCGCGCGTATAGTCGGCAGATACGAGCAATTATTTTGACAATTGACGAAATCTCGTATCTCTGTACATATAAATATGTATATGTTACTTTTTGTTGTCTACGATATTATTTACGTATGAGATCTGCGGTAAAGCGCATTAATGAGTATCTCGTCGCTTCCGTTGTCTTTTTACAGTAGAAAATAAAATTTCTAATTACGTATTTTTCTATTCGCGTTTGATCAGCGTGATCTCTGAAACGAGATTATATCATTCTGTCTGAGATTATTCGGTGTCTCGAAAACATCACCGAGAAATTGTCTCTCGATTTTTCTTAAAGTAGCAACTACGAAAGTGCACGAGACTTTTTTCGATTATTTATTAAAAAAAAAAATTTTCTATATGTTATATAATACATAACGCGTACAAGCTTGAGCGCCGTAACAATTGCGTGATTTACACGCGCGCAACGTATAAATGTGTGTACAATCTGTAAATTATTAATTTTACTAAAACTGTATCCATACAAAACATTGGTTTAATGTAATGATATTCAACTGAAAAAACAGTAGATAGAAACAAGAGATTAGAACTGATTTGTGTACATACAGCATTAAGAGAATATTAAAAAAATATATGTAATAATTATATAATAATTAAACAACTTTATATATATATATATAATTAACTAAACATTATATGTATAATTAAATTAACACAATTTTATGTATATCGCTATTTTTTTCCTTCATCACAACTGTTAAAAATATTGTCGTTTAGTGTTTACAAGACGAAGGAAGGAAAATGGTTGGTACAGAATAAATTTGTATAACCATTTATTGAAAAATTACAATGACGTAACAGCGATTGGCATAAAACAAGTACTTGATTACCATCAACATCATGTTACACTGCGCTATTCATTGATCGCAATTTTTTTTCGTTGAAACCACCATATAAATTACAGATATACGAGCGCACCGTTGCGCACAAATTATAAGAAAGTTTCTTCGGATATAAAAAAATATATATGCTTCATTAATATTTTCGTTTTTTTTCTTTTTTAATAGATTTGGACAGTATACCATCTTTTCATTGGTAAAATGTATATATAAAAATAATCTATAATGAGTACAATTGTCAGTTTGTAAAATATACTACCCCATCTTCATTTAATAAGTTTTGTTTTCACGTTTTTAAGAGCTTCACACAAATGGATTAGTTTCGAGACATAACAATGATATAATAATCGTCACAAATTGTGTCTGGTGTAAAAGTGAATGAATAATATGTGTGATATCAAGAGAAAAAACAGGTTCATCGGATAATGAAGTACATATTGTATAAAAAATCTGCATGAAACCCCGTTCCATAAAATTGTACAAAAATGAGCTAGACAAAATACGTATAAAAAGAAACAGTGAGAGATGTTATACTTATAGATACACAATTCAGTTATATTGCTACTGTACTAATATGTTAACTATTCACGCCTACACATCCGGCAAATTGTTTGATGGATCGGGATGGAATACGTTGCCTTCAATAGAGGATACATTACGAGTGACAAAAAATGAGAATATCAAGTATTCAGTTAGGCAGTGCGGAATCGTTACTGCTCCCCAAAACGTTCATACGTTATTAGACAATATATATAAATTTGCGCCGCACTCAAAACGGACATATTCCTATTTAAAATCACACGATCAACATTTGTTTTTTCACTTAATCTTCCTGACGGATTACATACATTTGAGACGGATAGTAAAAATCTGGTGTATATTGTTATTATAATATTTGATAGAGTGCTGCCAACACACAGCGGGATCCCTCATAACTTAATCCCAATCAACTTTACGGATCACAAGCATTTCCTGACATACGTCAAACACGATTCTCGAAGAATGTGGAAATAACAGGGAAATGCAAGTTATGCGAAATAATGTGTCGCGATTATTTAAGTTGTGAGGGACTCTTTTGTATATTACAATATACACCGTATGTTTTGTAAACAGATGTAACAATGATCTAACATGAGTGGAAACGACGTTAAGTGATGTATCAATTTGCTTGCACTGCAACTGCAATTATTCTTGCAACTGCAATTCTATAAATTTCACGATACGCGTCTCTAAACTTCCATCTGTTGTGATGTGCGTTGAATGAATCTTCTTTCCGTAGATGACAAGTGTGCGACCCTGTCTTTGATTAAATATTGATATTCTATTTCTTTACAAAGGATGAATATTACCGAACAATGATGTTGGGCACTAAACACTTGAATATTCATCTAATCATCGTTATCGCTATACATTTGATCATCTAGATACGTATCCTCCTCGTATCAGCTATCGGGCACCTAAGATGTGAGTTTACAAAAAAAAATTAATTTTACAAAATTTGATTGAAATAATATCTAAACAAATACAACACAATTTTATTTGTCCTTACTTTCCACTGTAATTGGGTACCGACTTCGTAAAGTTCCTTAAGGGTTTCGGTTAACGTGCCAGAGTTTTCCAGTTCCTTGTATTTACGATACAATTCCAAGGCCGCTCGCGCGTCCTCAGTTGAATCGTGAGTTTCAGACTGGATTGTTTTACCCAAAAAGTGCCAAGTTAAGAAGCGTAGCGACACCATACGATGATGAGGTAAATGAAATAACAAAACTGTATCCACTATTTGCTCTGGCGGCACTACTAAATTTATTACCCTGTAAAAATCATATATTTGCAAGTAAAACGTAATTGTTACTAATATAAGTAACAATAAGCACAATTATATTATCAATCTCTGAAATTTTACCTAAAATCGTTTCTCAAGCCGTGACCGACAAAAATTATGCCATTGTCCACTAGGAATCTTAACTTTTGATACGTCGATTTTAGAGTAGTAAGATGTTTGCTGCTCAAAGTTGCATCTAAATCACCAGGTTGTATTCCACTGAATTTTGTTAGATAATCTACCACTTGTTCTTGAGTACTTATGTAATCGTCTATAAATGGTGTACCTTCCAGCGGACCTTGTCTGTTTGTTACAAATATGAGAGATATCACAAATTATCATCTTTAAAAAAAAAAAAAAAAAAAAAAAGCTTCCGTTTTGTCAAGCGCGTTCTTTCTATATTTACGTGATAATTTAAAAATATATAACATGAATCATACCCGCGTATGCAAGTGATTCGTGCGACTGACATATGGCTCGGCTTTATAGTTGACATTTTTCCGTCACTCCGCAATTCGGCCTCCTCTTGATTAAGAGTAACGAATTCCGCATCAATCCCCACCAATTCGCCTTTCTTTGGCATTTCATCAGATGACAAAGGAGTAAAGGTAATGCCTATGGTTCCACCATTGCGAGCAATACACTTATCTTCTCCGAAAACATCGTATGTAAGAGGGCTGATAAACGTCGCGGGTTTAGGCGCGGGTATTGATGTGTAATGAAGTACACACGGAACTTTCCAATCTAGATTAAACCACACCGCTTCCTGCGGTGTCACCGGTGATATACTGTAACATAAACGTAGTGCCGTAAACTGATACAGAACAAAAAACCACATTACTTTTCTAAACGTCTTACACGACTCACCAGAAGTCATTGAAAATGTACCACTGTGACACAGCGTGTCCTGAGCGTTCGTGATAACTTGGTCCAACTCGCAACAACGCCACAATATTTCTTCGATCTTCATTGTTCTTATCGTCTACGTAACAGACAACGGCACTGAGACCGTATTGAATTGTTTGTTTTTTCGCAATCTCTGGATTTGTACTTTTTGTCTCACCATCCTCGTTATTCGATACTATATTACAATTTTCAATCTCTTTTGCCAGATCGTTTTCGATAGTCTCGGGAATTATTTGTACCTTATTGTCAGCTTGGCCGTTCTGCATCACGTTTGTTTGTGTCGAATCGCTATTCGAATCATTTTTGAATTCGTTAATTTTTTTCACCGATATTTCTCCGTTCTCTCGTAGAGAGATCTCTATATTGTGAGGTATCCAGGAGTGCGAATAATATAAGTGACTAGGGGGTGATGTAACGGGCACCGATGACGAGGTAGACGGGACAGAGGACGATGTCAATAGTTTTTCTGTTTCTGTACAATTAACAATGAGATTAAGGTGAATTAGAAAAAAATCGAATTTACATTCAATTGCTATTAATTGACAAGAGAATTCGGATTGCGTTTATACCTAATTCGCGACCAAGGTGTCTGAATCGACATCCAACTCGGGTGCAATTATTGCCGTATCGACATGGTTTCGCGGTAACAGGCACAGGACTGGAGTTGGGACTACTCTCCTTACCCGTCAACACGTTTTGTACTACTATGTCCATTTGATTTTGCCAAAACGCCTTATCCTGCAATACAACACGATCTCTTCAATTTTAGACAGATGAGTCGCAGCGTGCGGCTTCTCAATTTCGTATGCGTTACGATCGTTTGTCTAATTTTCGTGTTGTAAGTACCTGCTGAGTATCTAAGCCGCAGTTTAGAGCCAGTATTTGAGGTAGTTTAGTCAATTGTCGAGACTGGAGAGTAGGTGTAAATTTCTGGCAATTGTCACACCATGCGGGTGTAATTTTCTCTGGTCTTAAACTGCGGGCAAGAACACTTGTGAACGGTACCTCTTCAGCTATAAAAGGTAAATCTTTGTATTCAGCCGCGAGTGTGGACACGCGCTCGTTTAAACTTTCAAGGCCGCGCAAAAATGTAATTCAGCGTGCAAGTAAGTTCAAAACCCTCTCCCTCCCCTCAATATTTCAAACATTGCGTCAGAATTAATGTTTGTTTTGAAGTTTTTACACAGCCGAAGTTTCAAACAATTTTGCACGCTAAACTCGTTCTTTCCGTTCGGCCCGTCACGCACTTGTAAAAAAAAAAATAGCTTACAAGGATTAACTATTTCCGGATAAACTAAGTTACAGAGTAACATAATGGAATGTTTCGTAGCTTCTTGCCCACATTTGAGACAGCGATGTATGTGCATTTGTTCAGATCCAAATAGGCGACTGATCTCAGTTTCGTCGTCTCGTACCTCACTCTCTTCGGCGGATTTTTTGGTGTTCTTGTCTACCCGTATAATAAATGTGCATTTAAGGATAAAATAAACAATTATTAACAACAATTGAACTAATCGAGGGTAGATGAATAAAAAAAATTTTTGTTCAATAAACGAGACATGCACGTGACATTTGTCTCTACGTAACGCGCATTATTACTTGTTTTTTTGCGCGCGAGATGCTCTTTTGTAATGTAATTAATGTAAATAGTATGTTCTTGTGAAACAGAGAATATTTTGCTACATTTGAAAAGGTCTCATAGATTTGATTTTTAAAATAGATAACAGCAAATAAATAACAATATAATGCGAGAAATAGATATCAAATCTTTGCAAAACTTAATTATACTCTTCTAAGACATCAAGTTTGGTTATTTTTTCAATGTACGGATGTACATTACACATATATATTTTTCAATCTCAGGATTCTTGTGTGTAAAAGCAAAATCATGCAAATTGTGGAAAAGTAGAATACAAGGGGCTGCCTGCTTCTTACTATGAAAAAAAAAGATACACATAATAATTTAAAGCGTTCTAACAGGAATAACAAAAAGCATTGGCCGCAACTTATTGATTTAATATAATATAGAATTATATGTTCTAAAACAAAATCGTACGCACGCGTGCGTACATTAAAAAAGCTCCAGTTGTGAGATATCCTAAGAATACAAGATAATGAAAAAGAGTCGTGAGAAATATTCTATAGAAATAAAGATTTCGTGTTCATCCTCGTAAAGGATTATGCTTACTAGTAGCGCAGTAATCACATAGCCTTAAGTTTCCCTCTTGTTATTCTTCGGATATATCGCTGCAGCCTTGGATCACGTAATAAGTAAAAAACAGATCAAATAATCACATACAAATTGAAAAATAAACACAAAAAGTGCCCAGTGCAAAGGTTACACATAAATTGTGTTTACCTTTCGATGTGATCCACATATATTTACCATCCTCCTCTTGCTTCCTCTTTTTTTTCCTCTCTTCCTCATGATGCCTGTATCGAGAACCGAGATCCTCAAGGATACTAGGAAAATCCTGTTCGTTATAAACAAATGGCGGATATCTGCAACCCGATCTGAGTCGTGCTTCCTCTTCTTCTTGCTGCCGCTTCCGAGTTTCCAGGATCTCGTAGTGTATCTGATGTAATATAAATCTATTCCAACTCTAATAAAAAATAAAAAAAACAACAGGTTTACACAATGAACAATTGTCTGTGTTGGTATACCGTCAAACGAAAGAATTTAAATGTATGTTGAAATTGAATTTTATAAATTTCTTAATTATTGCCATACTTGTATGAGTCTAATCAAACTGATTTTTTTCTTGGCTTCCGGATGTAAATCGTTCAGTATGAGTCCCAAAGCCGATGCTTCCGGTACAGTTCTAAAAGCCCTGAGAAAATTCGCGGCTTGGCAGGGTAATCCTCGTGACGTGTCTAGCATGTGAAATAAGAATCCCAATTCGCAAGAAAGACAGAATTCTCGTTGGCACGAATGCGAGAGCAATGCTATCCTTACAGGCTCGCAGTAGTATAGCAACTGCAAAGCGAACGAACACATGCATCTGATCGACAACTAGTTCTCTTTCTTTCTCTACTTCATCTCTTTATCTATCTCTGGCTCTGTAGCTTTGTTCTTTTATTTTTATTTTATTTTTTTTTTTAGGCTGCACTTACCTGCAGCATAGCATTGCAATAACTGTTTGGTAGTGTGGCCTCCAGACCGCAAAAGCTGGTTCGATTGTACTGATCGAAATCAAAATCGTCGTAACCGAGCCGTGAATACTTCAGCTCGATTTTACGATAACGTTTGGGTATGGCCACAAAGGTGCCGTCATCGGTTTTAGATCGTGTGTCCCCCGCGAAAAGCTTCGTGACTAAGCCACGCCGTTTTTCCAAATTGTACGGTATCTGCAAAAGAGGTATTATTTATTTTTATTCCACTGATAATAGTGTGTCGGATACGTTTCCGCCTCGAACAATTTTGTTCTGCACTTGTCTTATACACAATTTTCGTATAGCTTGGTGCACGATAGAAAATATAAAAATTTTGATTTGTGAAAAAAATAAATAATACCTATTGGAGAACGCGTTTGTGTGGGAACTGAATCGCTACTGTGACGCATCATACATATATATATATGTCTATATATTAAAGTTACGCATACTGTTGTATGTCATACAACCTTTATTATTTCACTCAAATACAACTTCGAATATACATTTTACATGCGGAACATATTCTATGTGTAAATATACTAATCATAGTGCGCCTATCGAAAAATTATATTGAGCAGAAATCATTTAACGAAAACAGACAAAATGCATCGAGCACAAACACACATTGTGCGATATTGCGGGATTAAAGACAATAGAGAGTATCACGCTGGTCGATAAGGTATGTAGGAATTGTAGAAGCTTTTTCAGCAAAAAAATATATCGAAATATTTATTCGCGTTTCATCGTCTTTATGTCAAAGCAAACATGGAGTAAAACGAATATTTTCTATAAACGTCACAAACGACGATGAAGAAACTTATAAGCCTTATATTATCAACAGTATTATTATTAATATTATAGTCCAACATTTTTCTCAGCTATTTTGCTGAAATTTTTCCTTGAAATATAATCAAATAATTAAAACGTCTAGAAATAAATTAAAGAATCTATTATATTTCTGTAAAGTAATAATCTTTTTTTACAAAAAACGATATCTAATGATAATACAGTTATCATCTACTGTAATATATACTTTTATATATTTTTAAACTGATATTCAAAAATATATTTAGAATTTATATAGATATATCTACAGCAGATGGAGTTTCAAAAAATTATATATTATTCTTTTAAATTTTTTATAAATTGGCACATTGTTGAAGATACCAGATTTTTAACTGGTATACAAATGGAAGAAAAAAACCTACATTTTATATCTGATCTTTACACAGAAAAATAACGAAAAATACGCCCCTTTAATCAAGTTATTGTTTTTTCGATCTTTATACAACAACACACGCGATATAATACTGGTCAAAATCAACAAATCAAAAATGTTTATCAAAACAAAAAAGTTAATCTTTTTTGTAATTTGGCTTGCTCAATGCAATAGTGTATATGACGACATTGGTTTCATATTCGTTTTGTCTGTCAAAATTGTAAATAATTATATGTATTTTAATATCTATTTTTAAACAGTATATATTATAAATACATAAAACAAATTAACGAAAAGAATAAAAAAAAGTGTTTTCTTTAGACAGTGTGTATTATACCTGTAATACACTTTGAGATTTTTCAGTTTCTTTGTATACTACTATTGTAAAATTAGTAGAATATATATTAGACTAGCTTATGAAAATATATCATGTTTCTGTACAAACTACAATAATTATCACGAAATGTTGTGTCAGTCTTAATCACATTATAGCAAATTCTTCTTTTCCTACAAAATTAAACGTCTCGATCGAATTGAGCTTTTTTATCTCGATAATATATTGCTATAATCAATAAATTACTCATGCCAATAAAATCGTAAAGGCTATGAAGGAGCACATTTGTGTTATAGTATAACTTTGGCGTATATATATATATACTATATAAATTTGAAAAGCAATATATAATGTACACGCAGAAACGAGATATTCAATATCGAGTTAGATTATAAGCAAAGTGGCTTTTGAAATTTGAGAAAAGGATTGAAGGAATTGTTGAACGGGGAGATGTGTGCAAATGGAATTTTTAAGGTAATTTAAGAAGAGATGGAGGAGAATACTGTAGTAGAGTGGGTGAATATTGTTTTCTCACTTGATTTCTGCGAAAAGCCTGAGGATTTGGCGCGTATCCTATTGTTCCCTGCATCTTCATTGTACGCAAAATTTCGGGATCTATTAGTGGTGTTTTCCTGTGAAAGAATAAAAGTGCGATTTGCTTCCCGATTATACAGACATTCATGCAGTAAGCGAACAAGTATTTTAATTGCATTTCTCAACACAAAAATGTATATAAAATATATACACGTAGACCTACCTATAAACTTTTTTCAAAAATTCTTCTGGCCAATCACTCAGAAGTGGTTGATCAGAATATATCATTGGTATTGTACTTAATGGTGTAACATCATCATCAAAAGGAATCGATTGTACGGTTGGAACTAGATCGGCAAACTCCGTAGGTCTGTGTGTAAAATAACAAAAATATACACTTGTTACAAGAAACTATTAAAGTATTTAAAGCAATATATATATAGAAATAATTAATTTAATTAAGATTCTTTTTCAAGAATTTTTCTGACCTAGATAATGTATTAAATTGAGGTTCCGGATTGTTGGTAGACATTAGGTGTATAAAACCTGCTGAGTCTCCGAAACAAAGACATTGAGATGTTGAAGCTACATCAAAGGATAGTATGCCAGCGACTCCAGTTGCAACCTAATATAATGCGATATATTTCTGTGTATTTTCGACATATGCGACAATTTATTTTGAAATAAATCACTTTATGTCTTTTCCTCATTTTTTCAAGATGCAACAAATTTACCTGATACAAACATGTCATTGATGGTTGTACATTAGCATATATTGTATCAAGCAGCTGCATTTGCCCGAGCGGTGATACCACTGCGAGACGACTGGAATAACTTGGTAGGAACTTCAATAAAAGAGGATACACCATAATGGTAACTGGATTTAATGCTCTCATTTGTCTCAGATCATAGACCATCAAAAATCGATCGACAGTAAGGCCTTGATGACTAAATGCACGATATATAATTCGTAAATATGTCAGGTATGCACCAAGTTTTATTACTTTTCTGACTACCTTTCACCTCACCTGTTGCTGAACCCACATGTAACAAGATAGTTTCCCTGAACATCAAAATCACTTAAGGAAGCACTATGTGTGTCCAAAGTATGTTCTACTGACAATGTAGTTGGATCCCTGAGATCTATTCTTCCCATAGGATTACCAGCACAGATAAGTCTACTGTGTTGTCTCAATATTGCGCATCCATGTTCTCCAACATCTACCTACAAATACAAAGTAGAGCCATATAGTGGCTCGAGGGAAATTAATATAACATATCTTCTAACTAACACGAAAGTGCTTACTAATCCACTCTCTTTTCCTCTAGTAAGATTAAAATCAATGATTTTGTCCTGATGTCCACCTAGAAGCAATCTGGTTGGAGAAATTTGTAACATGCACTGCATGTCCTGCATATTTACTGACCTATAACAACCGAGGTTTTTTCAAATCCGTGGATGAATAATGTCAATATAGTATAATGATGTACACATACGTGTGTGTAAATATAGGTATGCCGCGACGCAATTGAAATCTCAGCTGACTTTGGCTTAAAACCAGAATTCCCTCATCCATAGGATGAATATGTCTTATCTCTTGTGTCGCATGAACTTGAAAAGAGGTATACTTTTGCAAACTAGACCCGTAGTAAGATGTTACATGACCCTATAATAAATCAACATCACAAAATAATAAACATTTGCTGTGTAGAACAAAATTGACCTCAATAGTCGATAATATACCCCTTGATTTCCCATCCACATAAGTTCCTCAACTGTATCGAAGGTGGCAGTGCTAACTCCAAACCTATCTCCGCCATCGGCGAGTAACGTTCTAGTCTCATGAAACTCAGCTCCTGCAAAATCTTCTCCAAACTGTTCCGTAGCAGGTACATATTCATCCCCAGGTACAACATAATTACCCTCTTCCCCTGGAATAAGAACCACTTGAAAATTAAAGACACATCCCTGACATCATCCCACAAGCGACGAACAGAAGAGTTTCTGTTCAATAGTTAGTGTTTTTAAATCTGACAAGTATATGATGTAAAATAACAAAGTAAATTGTAAATATTTTTGTGAGTCACTTCAAAAGAAGAAAAAAAGCAAAAGAGACAGAAAGTGGAACAGTAATATGGGCACAAAACCTGTAAATAAAAAACCTACATGCAAACATGCTTGCCTAACACGCACTATATACATGCTTTATTAGTATATAAAATATGAATTTCGCAATTACATTGTACAAAACAATGATTTCCTATCAATTTTCATAGAAAAACGTAAGAAACCATTATTACCAACAGTATTATTTTCGCGCGACAGAAAACAATTACATTTCAATTGTTTGTTTAAAGTGTTTTTTTTATACCTGTGAGTTTTGCCGAGTAAGCAACAACAAACAACTGCTCGATGACAGTCGAATTCTTCGAATATCGAAGAAACAGCTGATGCCAGCTGATAGATCGCTACAATGCGCCACGCGTTCGAAAGAACGTGAAAAGGAGAAACACATTGTGAAGAAAAGAAACAAACGGGACAAAGACATCGCAAGTAAAATCGCATAGGACGAGACTAATTTAGAGATTTCAATATTTGTTTCGTACTCTATTATTGAAACAAAAAAACAAACAAACAAAAGAAACGATCGTAGCTTTTGGCGCCTTTTACAAAGAGAACGCAAACACAATAGAACATACCGATACGCAAACAACGCACTCACATAACAAATCCCGCTCCTCCTCACCACTAGCGTGATCCGTGGCCTCTACGGCGGGACCATAGTGGCCCATCACCGAGTAGTCCATAATGCACGGCAATTTTCAGACTATATCGTAACGGAACATCGAAGCGCCGACGAAGACGCGAGGTTGGCACGAGAATCGGCGTCTTGGCGATCGGTCTCTTATCATAGCACACAGCGTAATACGCGTACACACCAACAGAAACGATGTAAGCTCTCAACGCACTCACACGCACGATAGTCGCCTTGGCAACTGTGCAACAAGCGAAACACTTTGCGCACCACTATTGCGGTTTACCGAGCCGGAACTTGGACCAACGGAAAATAACGGAGGACGTCATAACACGCTCTTTGACACCGCACTTCTTTCTTACGTCGAGAAAAACAGCGACGTTCGTCACGATCGTGATTTAATTCATGATTATGCTTATTTGCGCATTTCCCGAGTGCAACTGTGTACTGCGGCCTCGATGTATAGCGACATCTGGAAATGGCGGGCGCTCGACTTCGCGTGTTGCACCAGGGCAGCCAATACAGACTTGGGGATTAGCTTGAGGTAAAATTGCAGAGGATGAGTGTATAAATTATAAAAAAAAAAAAAAAAAAAAAACTTTTCACATCCAATATTTCTATTATTTTACATACACCCGATATAAATTTTATTATTGTACATATATAATTTTTATTTGTATACAATTTTATTATTTTATATAAATTTATCGAACCCTGTTTTACACTTTTTCACACATTCTTTGTCACCTTCAGGGTTTTTGTTAACTTACATGGACCTCGTATTTACCAATGATACAAAAAAATTGAGAATTCTAACAAATTTTTGGTTTCCCAATGTTAGTAAATTATCCATTCGCGATTATAAAAAAATTTCCACTTGCACATAAACAATAAAATAAAAATATCACCAAACATTTCACCATACACGCTTAAATGCATATTTCATCTGTTCACAGTCAAATATAAACAAATGCTATTTAAAAGACAACATCTAGTGAAAGATGTCTATTTTCCAACTAATCCAAACAATTTCGTTACTTTGTGAATGGCATATGTGCATGTTTTTCTATCCAAATAAATATAATGTACGAACAGACCTTCCATTACACCCAAAAGCACTCCGACATACACATCAAATATATAATGTCTTTTCAATAACAATCTGGACATACATACGTAAAAGGACCATGCTAATAAAGGTGGAATATATATTAATGCTATTGGCGAGATACGAAGGAAGAAATACACAAGATACGCAGAACGAGAAGCGTGTCCTGATGGGAAAGAATAAACATCAGGACCCACAGCAAGTGGGTCGTCAATAGGAGCTGGTCTTTTCCTTTTTACAATCGCCTTGAGTGTACCAATCACCGCAATATCCAGCAGCAATCCTGTAGTATTATCCTGTTATTTTTGCATTATCTAGATTAATGTTATAACTAATAGTATTTTTAATATTACCTATCAGAAGATTCATTTGCAATTCAAAATGTTCATCTTCAAAGATAAGTAACATGAGAGTAATTATTAACCAAGGTAAGCCGTGACATGATATCTGTTTTACAACAAGAACAAATAAATTAAGACAAGTTCATTCATTATAAATAACAATATTGTTGCTCAAAAGTTTAGTTTCACAAAAAGTTAGTTTCATATAATAGCATGTACAGTAAAATAAATAGTTAACAATTATTGAATAATACACATTATGATTATTTACACATACCTCTAGCAACTGATAATGTATTTTTAATTGTTCCAAAGGTAAGTACTTTTCTAACCAAGTGACAACCTCAGTTGTTGCATGTACATCCATTGTTAATATTCTCTGCCACATCATCATACGTTGATCTTTCTTTCCAGACTGAAAATTATAAGATATAACTTTTTATTTTATTTCTTACAACGAATGTTTCATGTGTCTGAAAAAAATACAATGCTGATTTAAATTACTAAATAACAATTTTAAAGAAAGATGATTAAGAAACAACAAAAAAAAATTTCACAATGAATAAAATATAATAGTTACCGTTTCCATGTTCTTTTTCTTACTTAATCAGTCATTCACGAGAGATAAAAAACGTCCGATAATTTGGTTGGTAAATCACATTATCTACACTCTACAGTATGTATAAAATAAAGGAATTATCCAACATATCACAGAGAACAGCTGAATACAAATGTGCGCACACAAAACTCATTCGCGAAAGATCGTAATGTACGCATATATACGCGCTGGTTTGCCATTTAGAACTTTTTGTGATCGCAAAAAATTTTTAACGAATTATAAACTATTCAAATTATATATTACATCTTTTCACACGATTCCTGTGCGCACGTACGTGCGTCACGCGCACAAAGTCAAAGTCAAAAGTGAGAGCTGGGAGATCTTATCCATATTGATTGGGAATGCGTTCTGCAACGAAATATCCGAACTACTCGCCAGATGGCGTACGTAGTTAAATATGAAAGTTTCCCGTTGCATGCGTGTATATCAAATACTTTTACCTTACCGACAAGAAAAAAACACAAAAGGCAACTTACTGCTCCTGGGTATAGTAAGTTGCCTACATCTCAGGCGAAACTTTGACAGATATCATTTTATCGTACATCGTGTGGATAATGTATAAGTGCAGTATATGTTTTTTAAAAAATAACACATTCAACGCTTCTTTAGAATGAATATATTTTCTTTGTTTATGTTGTTAGAATGAATATATCTTCTTTGAATATATTTTCTTTGTTTTCAACATGTTTTATGCAATGACACAAACGTGAGAAAGCGTATCACAGTTTTTGAAAACGTATAACGTACATATATATGTATATATATATATATATATATATTCCATAATCGGTACTTGTATTTTGTACGCATCATATACGGAAGAAAGATGATCACAGGATTATAGGTTTCAGGGACTCGTTAGTACAGAAGCACAATTATACATCTCTCAATTATGAAAATACATAAAAATACTATTTTCAAAATTATTTGCAGTCTCTTTGCGAAACCACAGTACAATATACGTTTATCTGTATTTTTATATATATATGTGACATAAATATAGTTCATTGTTATAACTTTCACAAGAAACAACACGTTCGTTTATATATATAATTTATATAATTTTTCTGGAAATCTCTTAAGAAAATGATAGAAGTTGTACACACAAGAATAAGGACGTTCAATCGTTGTACTGTTTTAATTTGAAAATACATTTATTTATTTTATTTGATCATTTCATGCAAAGAATGTCACGAGAAAAATGTCAGAAAAACATTATTTTAAAAAATACAAATTGTTTGCACTCGTCTTAATTTTAAGCCAAAAATTTTGTTATCGTTGATTTTATATATAGAAGAATAAGTTTTTTTTTTTAACGTGCATGTGCGTATCTCCACAATAGAACATCTCTTGGAAAGAACACTGTGTAGTTTTTATATAGCGACAATAAGATTGCAGAAGAGATACATAAATTATCACACACATCGATAAGTTATTAATTGCAAATTTCTTCTGTATTGTTTGTAAACAATGTAAATAGAAATTGTTTACAAGCGTAGATAAGAGACGTAATATATGTGTTATGGCAATTCAGCTTTCCACCGTGTGATCTGCTGTATAATTATATTTTAAATTATCGAATTTGTGTGTCAATTCTTCTCAATTACTTCATTATAGCGCAAAATATCGCTCGGTTAGAAAGCAGAACTTAATCGATAGCGTGATATAACAAAAAGCGTCCTTGGAGATGGAGCACTATTGAAGCCGCCTAAAGGATGCAACTGGAAGATACAACTGTGAATCTGTGCCTGAGCGGAAGACTTCGACGAGCATTTACAAAGGACATTGGACATGATTGTTGCGCGTTGCGTATCACCTGTTAATAATCGACAACATATCCACACGTATCTTTTGAAGTTTGAAACAGTGTGCATTGTAATCTTCTAATATCTAACTACAAAATTTATATCGCATTCAAGAGCGTACCATTCGGCTAAAGACGCGTATACCCTGTTAGCGTTGTCACTGATGCGGATGCAAAGAGTTCCATCATCTGAAAATGAGACTGAAAAAAAAAAAAAAAAGAAAAAAAAAACAAATTAAAACGTTCATCGCTTATTTGTTACTCACAATGTGCGGCACAATTCTCCGAAGAAATAAAACAAAACTGGTCTCACGTAAGATATATGTATTCTCGTGCCGTCTTTTTAATGGCGTCGGATCAGACGGATGCGATGATGAAGAGCATTGGCGACGACTTCTTCGTCCGATTCAGCCGATTGACGCCGCATGTTCGGCGTACCGCAAAAAGACGAGGTGGCTGCTTGCTTCGCTTGTGGTATTGGAAACGAAGAGCGACGAATGAGCGGAGGCGGCCGCGCTCCTGGGAGATGAGGGGGGAAAAAGGTAATTAAATATTTCCGTTTTATACGGTTCCCCGCGCTAATCGAATTGAAACGTTCTCGTGCTGATTACGAGTGTCATTTTTGTTCGTTGTAAATTAAATTGAAGACATCATTACAAAAAGCAATCTCACTGCAATTCTCACTAAGCAATATATTTATTTTTTAACACTTTCTAGAGTTTAATTAAAAACTCAATTATATTTACGTAATTATATATTTATTACGTAATTATATATTTTATTATTTCTCTTTTGCATTACCTAACAGACGCAAAGGAGGACGGTGCATTCCAGGCATCTCAAAGGACATTTGACTCCTAATTAATTCTCTTGAAATGGGACGTCTTGTGACGGGAAGGTCCACGCTGGAGGAGCATCTCCTCCTCGAGGTAATCGTGCCTGCCCTAGACGAATCCTTATGCATTTTTGAAAAGAGAGAGTGCAACATTTCACGAATGCGTGTCTATCCGAGCATCGAGAGACGGTTTTCTACTTAGCTCCGCAAGGAAAATATAGCGAAGCGTTTTATATCCGTCGGTCTCTGCCGAATATCGCAACTGATTACGAGTGTGGTGCAAATTACATACATAACATACACGCTCAATTGGTAATCTAATTATTACGTTTGACAAATACACAAGTGCAAATATATCGGACTAGTGCGTAGATAACAATAGATAGTGCTCAAATAATTCAGGGGAGTGCGCAATTAAATTTGCTCTTGCGTTGAAATAAAATACATGAAGCGTTTAAGTAAAATTGTTTGCTAATATAAAACTCGTTACTTTCACAAAAAAAAAAAAAAAAAAAAACAACAAGCGAAAACTCGAGAAGAAAAATACATCTTTGTGAGATAAACTTTTGACTCGAGTATTCTAGCGCGTCTCAAAGAGACGCTTTAGAGATGCTAAAAGTTTCAACGCAAGAACTTGAGAAGAGAAGTTGGGTAATACGAATGTAGCGCAGTACTTTTTCCCTGGCGAAGCGTATTCGCAGTACTTCAACGAGAGCAGCTATTACTGATACGACCAGCATCGTCACGAGTATGTGGCCTGCCACCGTGACGGACTTCATCTGACGTGTTTTCAAGATCTCTTCAGCGTTTTCTTTCACTTCGGCGATGTCCCTCTTGGGCACGCAGATCTCATCGTCCGCATCCTTCTCTCTGTTATTTTCTTCCTCTTCAGAGTCGCTGTCATCATCATCGTCATCATCGTCGTCGTCATCATCATCATCATCGTAGTCGTCTTGCACGTACGTGCAATTTTTGTCGTAATCGCTGACGAAGACGGACATCAAGCGACTCTCGTATTGCAAATTTGGACAGCGTTTCAATTTTCGATAATCCATCAGTACCAGAGGTTCCTTGTCTTTCTCCAAATCAGTGACATTGCGCTCGTCTTTCTTCTGACTTTGAGCCGAGTAATTCGCCTCGAACAACAATCGCAACGGCATCGACAGAAGTACGCCGAATATCGCGATTATCATAAAAAGACTCAGATTAATACCCAACGACAATCGCGTCTCGGTCATCTTGGCGAAGTATCCGCAGCAACCACGTTGTTTACCTGAGTATGCTGAGTTCGATGCTGAAGTGATTCGCGCGAGTTTCCATGGCAACGCGGAGCGTATCGGACCGCATTTGAAATTGCGGTTCTTCTTCGGAGAATTCTCAAAGGTTTAAACCGACGTTACCGCAACTTTGACTCGGGCGGACGCACTTTTCAATGATCGTAAACAACGGTATCGACCGCCCGCGCTCGCGCGCGCGCGACGATTCGTACTTGTTCCTCGTCCCAACGCAACTGTTGCGCGTACCGTCGTGCTGGCAAGTTCCAAGTGAACCTGGACGTTGGCTGCGATATTGATTTCCCCAGGTTGGACCGCGCACGTACGATACGCGCAAGTCTGCCTCGTCGGCGGACACACACCACGCACATGTCGATAATTAGATTACGGTTTATGGCAAACGCGCGCGGGACAATTTGTCACGGGGTTCTGAACACATTGAAGGACAAGCCAAGAATACTGCAGAATAGGTCAGATATTATTGAGGGGATTGATTATAAGAGATTATCGGGGGCAAGATTTCTCTTCTTACAACACACGCGTAATAAGTTGCGAGGGATAGAAGGGTTCTTTGAAAAATTACGATGCAACAACGTTAAGTAACGTTGACGTGCGCACTACTGTCTAAGTATAAATAATCTTATTCCAGATTTATTTGACCGAAAAAATACGCGCGGAAAAACAACTGAATTCAGGATTCGTATCGTAGCATCTCTTCGATGTTGGAGTTAAGTCGTCGGAAATAGATGTGTCTACCGTTGAATGGAAGAAAGTCGACGGGGCACGATGTGACCGAGAGGCGGGAGAGAGCGCTCTCCCGGTTTCTCTCTAGTCGCGTGCATACATAAATAATATTAGACAATATCAAATTAAAATTCGCATCTTTCTGCGAGCAACAATGGAGCGTGGTGAACCAACAAAGGAAACGCCCGCCGCCGCCGCCGCCGCGCCGATCCCAAGTAGTAGCGCATCGTGGCGGCAGCGTTTATAAAAGTAATAAAACAGTCGAACAACAACTCTCGGGAGTGAGCGGCAGCGCGGCGGAGAAAGAGAGGGATGCTCTCACGGGGAGAGAAAGGGCGAGAGCGAGCGAAATAAGCCGGGAGGTGAAAAGAGGAAGGCAGAGAAACGGACAAAACAGAGCAAAAGAGTGCAAAAGAGAAAGAGAGAGAGAGAGAGAGAGAGAGAGACGAAACACAGGAGAACAGCGACCCGACCCGACCGACCGGTAGCCCAGCCAGCACACGTATATCTTGCTCTGCTACTCCGATTCTTCGAGGTTCTCATTGATGAGCTACCTCGTGCCTTCGCAGAAGTCCGCGTGATCGCGTGCGAGAGTCTTTTTAAAAATAGCTGCAATTATCTATCGAATGCGTGAATATGCGAGATGATTCATTAGGTGTGCAAAAGAGTAACATAAAGTCACGAATAAAAAAAGATGTCTTCATAGAAAATGTTATCAAGCATTAATTAGTTTGATGTAAAATATAAAAAGCTTTTGTTAAAGGGAACGATATACGTAAATTCCACGACAATTATCACACGCGGAATGTGAATTATATTAATTAGACAATTAATATGTGTGTGTTTCGCGTTTTTGTGTTTCCAGTTTACTGGAAAAACTTTCCCAAAAAGCTTTCTCTCTCTTTCTCTCTCTCTTTCTCTCTCTCTCTTTCTGGCTTCGATTTGCGAGATCGTGAGGAGAGTAAATTTATCATCAAAGTACCTGCCGTGCCAGCATATCACGAAGAAAGAACACGGTGCGTTCATAATCCGTGAAAGCCATAATTATCTCGCGCGCGGCACAATTATTTCGAGGAGCTGGCAGAGCGAGTCCGGGGAATCGATTATCGCATGCACCACGGGCGCGAAGGTGCGCTTCGAGGTCATCGATTGAGCGATTTTTACAGGTCGTCCGACGACGTAGGCAGATAGGTTGAGAGCCAGGGTATGTAGAGCAGATGCTGCGCTCTTGCCCGTGGTGGCGGGAGGGGGGTGCGTGATTTTTCACCGCCGACAGCCCCTCCTTCGAGAGAACCGCGCATTCCACCTCTCTCTTCCCTCCTCTTCCTCCTCCTCCTTCTCCTCTTTCTTCTTCTTCTTCGGGGCCTCACCACCGTCACCTTCCTCCCCGGGTTCCTTCATCCTTCACTCTTCGTTCCTCGACTTAGCGTGCACGTCGCGTTGTCTCGCTCGCACCGCCAGCCGTACCGGCGGACACGCCACCGGACACCAGTTGCACGATCTTAGATTTGCTGATCTCGCGTCCCGAGAGTGCACCGACACGCACACACACGAGAGAAGATGCATGCGCCGGGTTGGCGGGGTGAAGTAGGCAAGATGCGCACAGGGCGCGCCCGCGAGCCGCTCCCGCAGTCGCGTGTGGCTCGCGATGAGCGCGCGCGTACGCACGCGAGTCACGCACTACGACGAGAGCATATCTATTGACACATCAGAAAATTTAGAAAGACACAAGATAGCGGTACGCGCGGGAGGTACGGGATTGCGAGGATGTAACTTAAGAGAAATTGAAAATTTCAGGAAACAAGAAGCCGCGTATTGCATCATACTGCATCAAGCGTATCGAGATGTATCGAAATCTGCGAGAAGATAGAAAATTAGGAATCATGTTTTGTTGAAAAAAAAAACAAGCGTTTGTCGATCTCTTAGAAAATTGGAGAAAAATCCTCAAAACACAGAAGGTCGTATAAGATCTAGTTTAAAATTATACACGCACGAAAACCAGTCGGCCGCGGAAAATACTCTTCTCCATTCAGATAATTCCGCTGAATGGAATGTTCATTACGATGCCATTTATCTCCAACTGGACTCTTCGTAGGTCATCGAAAGCGGGCACGTCGTCGAAAACAGATACGCGTCGTCGTCCTGGACGCATCAGCTTAAATGCGGCTTCGCGTGTCGCGTCACGGCCGGAATGTAACGAGCGCTTTTTCCGCCGTGTTTTTTTTTTCTTGCGCATCTCGTCGATGTTGACGAAGAGTAAAAAGGCGAGGATATAGCCTGTCGCAATTTTGTGCCTAACTACCGGTACATTCCGCCGGTATTAAATCACTCCTCGCGCTCCTCGTAAAATATGTGCATCCAATTTGCAGTACAACACGCGTCCCGCAAGCCGATCGGAATATTTACGCGCGCACTTGATTAGGCTGATAGCATAATTACCGGCTGTCCGAAAATCGATTTACCGCTTTGAGAACGGTGTGTAAAATGCGCGCCAATGAAATTTCACAAACTTTATTGTTGCCACGTGAGTTTGCGCGACGTACAAATTACCTCTCAAAAGTCTCTCTTCTTAGTTCAAGTAAAATGCGAAGTGATCGGGAAAACATATATTAGCTGTTACAAGATGCGTCATAAGCACGCGACCATTCAAATCGCATACCGCGCTGATATATCCGTGACTACTTCGTAAAACACACGGCGCGCAGCATTATTTCACCCAAACCTGTTGAAAGTGCCTTGAATGCAATCAGACACAGATACAGGATAATCTTTTCTCTATACGATAACGCGAAATAGACGAGAATCATCACGCTTCGGTTAACATTCCGGTCCGCGAGCCGCGAGCGATTCGCTCGCAGATTACGGAGGGGGCGCGAACTCGCGCGCGGATTACGAGGAGCGCGACTCGCGCGTTCATCTTATCCGAATTATTACTTTGTTGCGTACGCCATAAATAAAATTAATACCACATGCCGCGAACATCGCGTATCGCGCCAACGTATGTTTCCGTTTGAAACGCGCATCGCTCGCCATTCATGCACCGGCGGCATCCGAGGGAAGAGAAGCGCACCGTGAATCGTTCTGTGAATTATAATATTATTATGCAGATCTCGCGCAGAGAGTGCGCACCCGGTGAACAGCCGCGCGGACGACCAACATGCGGCGCATACCACTCTCTCTCTCTCTCTCTCTTTATCGCTCGTTTGCTCGCTCGCTCGCTTGCTTTCTCCTACCGTCAATCGACATTCCGGAATTGCGATTACCGACATCGGAAATCACACCCCTGGCACCTGTGCCGCGGCGACGCAGAAAGCGAGGCGTTGAATGCAACTAATTGGCGTTGCACCGCAGTCCGCGCGCCGAAGTAGCTCGGGGGGGTAGCTTGCATGGTAAAATTTCCATCTATACCGTACGTAAGATACAGACGGACGGACGTATGGACCAAGGGAAGAAAAAGAAAGAGAGAGAGAAGCTACGAAAACGGCGGGGTGTCTAGAAAAGGGCCGCAGGAGGGTCGTGTCGTGGCCGTTTCCCTTCGTGGCGGATGGACGCGAGCGAAGGATGCATCGCAATTACGCAAATTGCGGCTCTGTTCTCGCCTGCTCCGGGCTTACCGCCTGCGGAAGAGCATCAAGACGAGAGATCCCGACGAGTCTCTCGTTTCTCGTCTCTGGTGGCGAAGGACGGCGTCGCGGCGAACACTCCCGGGACGTTTACACGCCGCGCGCGTTCGGTTTTGCGGGTGCGACCGATTGAATGGATAGCGCAAACGCGTTCTGCTTGTCGTCGTTACACTGAGAGCGATTGGTCCAATCGCGCTTGTCGCGCTTGTGAGTAATTGACGCACGTTCGCTGAGATCGCGAGCAGTTTGAATGGTGAGTACGAAAAACGAGTTTGTCGTCTCGAGAAGAAGAGAGAGAAAGAGATAGAAGAGAGAAATCTCGAACGAGAGCTACCGAGAGCTCGTTCGGAACGGACAAATCACACGAAGGTGGCGAGTCCGGCAGGGGAACCACACACCGGTGTAACGAGAGGCATCGGCCTGACGGTCCGATGAAAAATGCCGGTTATATCGGGAAACTGGTTGGAGAAGAACGCGCTCGTTCGAAGACAGCGCGTGGCTGCCGCCGCGCGCCGTCTTATTAGCGCTGATCGGCCTCGCGATAAATTTATGTGTCGGACGAGATATATACGCTCCGTACGGCCAGGCACCAAGACCTCTGCGTTTCGCATGCTGGAAAAAAAAAAAAAAAAAAAAAAACACGCCGTTATTCAGGATACGTACCCAACCGTCTCATCCTGTCGCGATTCCACCTATGCGCGAGGGATACGTTTTTGCCACGCGCGCGGTTACGCCGACAGTATCCTTAATGGAAAGCGACAGAGGATCCATTAGCCTTCATTGATACCATTGCGGGCAATTGTAACGAAGACGTAAGTCTCCTTCCCGGAGAGACGCGTGGACGAAGAATTCAATTCTTGAACAATTTGAGTGAACTTTCTGTAACAAATAAAAACTGAAACAGTAAAAATTAATATTTTTCAGAGTTAGACTTCAACGGTAAAAAATCGTGAAAAAAAAAATAATTTTTGCAGATATGGAAAATCTAACGTTTAACGAGAAATATTATTTTTTTTTTTATTCGCTTCTGAAACCTAAATGTGCTCCTTAATGTGCAACTTGTATAAAATGTTACATTGCTTCGAATAACGCGCGTATATACTTCTCATTTGCCAGGGAGATCTCTCTCTGTAATGCCAAATTGATTTCACGATTCGCGCCTGATGCGAAAATAAGTGTCCCGCTTGATTCGCGCGTATCAGTTTCGCGACGTTTTCGTCCGTGTGCATTGCGCTTGTTTCTTTCTTTCGTGCGAGCGTAGGTTGCGACGAATATCTTGTCGCAGGAATCGGACGGTTTGTCCCAGTGGGACAAGTTGTCTCATCACGCCTGCGGATTGGTGACTTCGAATCGTAGGCCAAATGCGCGCGATTAGCACAGCTGCATTCCGCAGTCTCGATTTTGTTCTTGGCTCTTTCTCTCTCTCTCTCTCTCTCTCTTTCTTTCGATATAAAACCTCGTAAATCCCCGACTTCGTTACTGCGACGAAGCTGCGCGCTTCTAGGATATAAACTTCTTACACGCCCGGCACGGCGAAGTTTACGTCGTCGTTCGTTGGCATTTTGCCCGTTTGTATCGAGATAACGCAGCGGTCGCATCGCGGATTTTTATGCTAATCCTATATAACGCAGCTATCTCGTGTTACGTCCGCGTACACCTGTTGGGAACATGTCGCACGTCGCGCGCGCGTCGCTTTTTCGCGTCGATAACCGGTGTTAAGGCGCGATTCTAAAACGGGGGGTAGAGAAAAAAGTTTCCTTCGCAATCTAGATGACGATCTCCGGTACTACCAGTAGCGAGATCGCTTTTAAGCGCCACGTTGTAGTAGCGCGCGCTCGCGCGCAAAAGCAAGCGAGCAGCTCGCCAGGAGCGTATTAACGTCCGGAGCCATAACGCGGGCGTTTATTTCTCTATCGGCGGCGTCTGTTTCTCGAAAGGATCCCATCGCGAGCCTCGATAGAGAAACGGCGGAAACGCGGCAAGCCGATAATTAGTGCGAACCGAATCGGCTCCAGAGAAGACGAGAGAGAGAGAAAGAGAAAGAGGGAAAGAGAGTCGCGTACTCCAGTGGCCAGCGGTAATCGCCGTAATTTATGCTCCGACAGCCGCTCGAAGAAGAGAGAGAGAGAGAGAGAGGGAAAAGGGTGGAAGAATATAGGCTCGTTGAGATAGGCCAGGAGCGTAAAAAAGGCGTACGGCGAAAATGTCGCCCAATTAACAGGCGAATTGGAGCGACCGAGGTCGAGCGCCTCGCCAATGCGTGTATGCGTGTTTTTACACGCGCTCCCGTGTATCAACATCCGAGTGGAGGAAGCTGGTCGGTGAAAGAGGAGGTAAAAGCTTAACGAGTCTCTCTCCCTCTCTGTCTCTCTCTTTCTCTCTCTCTCTCTCTCTCTCTCTTTCTCGAGCGCAAAAGTAGCCGCTACGCCATTAGCGCGGGAGCGAGCGAGCGAATCGGCTTAAATATCGCGAGCGTTCAACCGCGCGCGAGTTGCGACGGAGACCCCGGCTTCGCCAAGAGGCGCGCCTTCTCTTTTGAACCCCGAGCCACTTTTACGATTTTATTATTGGCTCTTGCGCTCGCGATATTTATGCGACGCCGCACGATATTTTCCAACGCAACGCGTCGACTTTAATGGCGACCGCCTTATCCCGATCCTCCTCTCTCGCCGATCCCGAGGCGCATAGCGCTGCGCTAATAACGCTTCGACCGTACACGCGACTTAATTAAAAGGGTGAAAAGACGAGCCTTCGCTTGAGAAGCGCGCAAAACTTTTGCAAAAGTTTCAGCGTCTGATCACTGACAAATACAAGTTCGTGCTCTCTAGCGATATTTTAGGAAAAAAATACTCGCTAAAACGTACAAGCACGGGAATTATCGAACGAACACACTGTATCTCTTTTTTTTAGAGTAATAAAATTCAAATACATCTTGTCGAGATATGCACGTTGTACACAATCAATCGAGAATGCAGTAAGAGATGAGAGTCTTATTAATATTACATCAAAGCGAATGATACTTGCGGGCGATTGATCGATAGAACGATGTCAGTAGGACTGATGGAAATTCCTCGTCTTCAAACAAAAAAAGAAAGTAACTATCGATCAAACAACAGAATTCAGATGAAGAAGAATGAACGACGCTCATTATCTCCCACGCTTATCGAATGTTAATGATTCTAATGAATGTAACCAGAACGGATTCCAAGAGCCACTGACATTGAGGTAAGACGATATCTACGCATCGTCGTCCGCGTATACCGGTTTTAATATCCTCGCGTCAAAAGGATATCTTCGGAACTCGTTTTTGACGATTTTTAACGCACTCTCATCTCGTGGAAATGGTTTAAGGTGATACCACCTGAAAGCTATATAGCAAATGAACATAAAGTCATCATCTCTCACACTATGGATATTTTATATTATTATTACATATTACATTTGTGATAGATACCTTCTCACAGAGAAAGAGTTAACGGTTTTTAGACAGACAGACGTCAAGCGCTGAGAAAAGAAAACAAGAAGACTTCTCTCTCTCCGAATCAATTCGCGTTTTCTCGCGTCGAAAAACGCAGCCGTGTCAGAGATCACGTCTCTCGGTCGGGCACGTCGTTTTCTATCGGTTGCTGATCTTTTGGAACGCGAAAACCTGGAAGTCGTTTCTGCCGCTATTCCGCATGGCTGCCCATAGCTATGCCACCACCACGACCGGACGGATCTCAACTACCACTTACACGCTTTCGTCGTCCTCTCCCTGTGTTCTGGCTCGATATCCTCTTTCGTCGTTCTCTCTCCCTGCCTCGATACGCCTTAACTATCGCGATATACACTGCACCGGCGGCGGGCCCGTTTTTATTCGCCATGCGCCGCGTTCCTGACACGACAATCGGTGTTAACCAGTAATTCAGATCTCGGCTAACGGCCGGTAATTTAGACGCGCGCGCGCGCGCGCGCGCGTGTGCTCACGCGATGCCCGAGATAGGATCACGGATACATATTTGATGATTTCTCTTCGCGTCTCATCTCCGTCCTGTCGGGAAGTCGCTCTCAAGATGATACGATCCTTCTCCCGAGAGAGGGGTGATCATATTTTCCGGAAATCAGCAGTTACCGGAACTCTATGGACAATCTGAGGTACAAAAAAAAGACCATCTAGATACAAAAAATTAAGAAAATGTTTTCTCACCTCGAGTGAAATATTTCTATTCGCTGTATCGAATCTTCATTTCAAATGAGGCTTCAAGATCTAATTCTTATGTGTAGCATTAAAACAATTTCTTAACAGTTAATTTTCTCGTTAGTGGCGTTAAATGGCCACTTTAATTCTTGAAATACTCGATCTAATAAGAAAAGAGATAGCGCATCAATTATATGCATTGATCGATTAATCGATTCGGCCATTGGTCGATTCCTCGCGAGACCTCGCGATTCGCGACTTGTGCATGCCCGCCCTAAGACGAACGGTGAAATCCGAAGTTAGCCGCGCGTCAAAAACAGTAATGGCGGGCGAGATGGCGAAAACGGTCGCGTCAACGTTTTTTATTGCTGATAAAAAAGATGACAGAAACATCAACAAAGAACGATATCGGAGTAAAAAGCGTATCGGAGTAAGTACCTATTGTGACGTAGTAAACGTAGTAACTCAAATTATGTAACGCGGAAGTGAAGTGTTATTTGATTTTTTATTGTCGTATTGCGAAGTCGTAGTCGCGCGCGGCGATGAGAAGCAATTTTCGACCGTCCGACTTTTTTTTATAGTATCTTGTTCGAAAACATTCGGCCTTGAGCGCGTTTTGTGTTCAAATTCGCGATGCAATAACAAACGAGAACGTTTTGCAATACTTCCGAGGAAGTATTCCGAGGTGAGATATGTATTATCGATAAACTGTGACGTACTTTTTTCAAGTATATATTTGAAAAAGTGAGAGAAAAGGTGAAAGAGAAAGAACATAAAACAAAAAAATATATACGCGGGATTCGATGATAAACTTGCAGTGATAGTGAAATTCGTTTAGCGGGTGATTATGTTCGGGGCAAGCGACGGGCAACGAAGGCACGGGCGTCGAGCGAGTTCGCGTTACGACGGAGCCATTTTCGGTCGTTTTCGCGCGCGCTCGTAATAACCCGGCGGACGGGTGGAGGTCACGCTGACGCGTCATATACCTTTTGTTTATCGCGTGACTCGTCGCGGGGCGTCGGCGTCAGTGCGTACAGTGATGATAGGTCGCGGCGCGCAGTCGGTTACGTTCTTATCCGCGCGCACCTTCGAAATCGCGATCCGCCGGCGGCGGCGCCGCGCCACTCGCGCCGCCAGTACGATCTCGCGCGTGCAACCGCGACAATCGTTGTCTCGCGTTCGCCGTTTGCGACCACCGCGACGACGACGACGACGACGACAATTTTCAGAGGAGACTCCGATCTCGAACGACGACTCCGTCGCGTCGCGAAAACGCACGTCCCGTTCGCAGTACGTGCGTTTGTAAGTGCATCGCAGCCGCTACCTTACGTGCACACGTGCCGTAACCGGAGTAAGCGGTTTCGATCGGCGCCCTCTGCCGCCGGTCACGTGGCCCACGACGGTGGCTGTACGACGACTTGTGTGTGAACGGATCGGAGAGGAGATCGATAAGGGTGACGATCGCGGAAAATGGCACGCATCAACGCGCAGTTTGACGAGGTTTGACATCAGTCGCCGCAACGACGACGACGTCTGCATCGGCGCCGATTTGGTGAGTGAAAATTTCAACGACGTATAAATTGTATAACGTAATATAAATTATACGCGCGAATATACATGAGAAAGTTCGATGTTATTGTTTATTCTATTTTTGTACAATTAAACGTATATCTATTGGTAAATCGATGTTATTGTTTATTCTATTCTTGTACAATTAAACGTATATCTATTAGTAAATATTTGTCTGAACGATGAAAAAAATATCGCGCTCTACGAATTGAGTATTGCATCAAAGTTTTTATTTAAACGTCGCGCGTTCGCGTTGTTAAAGATAACGTTAATTGCGGTGTTTTGTTCGTGCAAAGCGTGACACAGTTTTCTGATTATCTATAGTTTTGTGGTGTCGAGTTTCAAGATTAGTCGAGCATTGACTCTCTTCCGTGAAAAAACCACGTGCTAAATTCGCACGTAAGTGTATCTTGTATCACGTTTCTTTCGCTTTTTTTCTTCCACAAAGTCAAAAAAAAAAAGAAAAAAAAAACGCATGCGTTACTTTTGGCCGTTTTTGTTTTTTATTTTGTCTGTTTTCTCAATTAAATATTGTGTGTAATGTAAAATTTTTTCACAATCGAAACGACAGAAGAAGAATCGTCGAAGAAAGGCGGGTTAGATGTTTTGGTATATATATGTGTTACAAGTGTTCTACTCTCTTGTATACACACATAGATTCTCCTTGAATTCTATAGTAGAATGCAGAGACGGCAGTCACCGGAAGTACAGACTGCTGATAGCGGAACTCGCGTTGAAATAGAACCTGCGAGCTCGAAGTACACTCTCGCGAAAAAGTTTAGTTCCGCGTGCCAGTCAAACGAGTAACATTTTTTTTATTTTATTTAAAAACTGACTACCGATACGAACTTATCAATATTTACCATTAACTATCTACTGTCCTGTTTACATCTTTTTGTTTCAGAAATATCTGTACGTGCAAATCGAAGTGATTATATAAAACTATACTTTTTATCTCTTTCGAGTTGTTCGAAAACATATCGTTTTATGCAAATACGCTCGGGAGGTATCAAAATCTAATCCTTGTTTTTCAAAAAAAACACACAGTTCTCCTCATTTACACACGTAATTGCAGAATAAAACGTGGCGTTGAAATCACGTTTGCAGGTACAACATCTCGTTAGACGGGAAATATTATAATTACACGTTGCACGCGTTACACACACACACACGCACACGTTGAAGACGCGTGTGAAAAAATGCGATTGTTTTTTTTTTGTTTCGCCCTTTATCAAACGAGTTTATTCCAGCGAGATATTAGAAACGCTTGCGCGATGTAACTCGAACGTCAACCGTAACCGCAAATGACGGAGTCTCGTAGTCTGCCATTAGAAATATCGCGGTATGATTACACGCGCGTGTATTACGCACGGATCTGTGCTTGTGTGTATTTGCGCGTACGCAAATGAAAAGAAAACGCAGCCAGTGCGGATGCAACCTTATCCCGCGAGTTTGAGGTAACTATTGCGTCTGACAGAGACGAATCGCTCCATTAGGCTTTAGCAAAATGACAATTTATATTGTGGCGCTTCGGGAAATTGTTCTCCCGTCAAGACGAACACGTGGGATCAATCAAAATTTCTCATTAGCTCGAAACAATTTAACGAATGACGTTCGCGCGTCTTGATATTTATTGAGATAATATTCGAGAGATATTTCAAAATTAATAATAATATTTAAATTAATATTTTTAATAATATTGAATTAATATTTTTTTATTACATTGCATTTTTGCAAATGTAAAACCATTTTTTTTTTTATCAAAGAGAATTGGAGGAGCGAAGTGTGCATACGTGTTATCTACGTGCCATATTTAAAAAGGAAATAGAAGTATCTCTAGTTATGTATACATACACAACATCGAAAGAGTTTTATCGCACGACAAATATCATATTATAGATTGTCAGCGAAATGTAGCTCGAAACGAGCGCGTCGGAAATACACGCGCGAGCGCACGGCGCAAAAGCGTTCCGCGCGCGTTCCGTATCTGATTTTCAAGACAAGTCGTGTAACATATCTCGCCGATCTGACGTCTGCTTCCGATCAGGCGAAAACAATCGCGGCAAACAAAGCCTGCCGATCGGTCGGCACGTATCGATCGACCGTCATGAGGTCGGCATCGAGAGCCGCGCCGGCTCAATGTGCGCATTCACAATCGATCGGAGGCGAAACGCCTTCTCGGCGCGCTTATAACGAGACGCGCGGCTCGCATCGTCACCGCGACCGCGCCGTATCCGTCCTTAGTTCTTGCTCTCCCGTAATCGTCAACGATCGTCATCGTTGTCGTCGTTGCGAAACAATACGACGGTCGTTAGCTTTTCTACGAGCCGCGCACACCCAACCGTAGAATCTCCGACCTCGATGTCGGTCTATCGCCGCCGCCGCCGCCGTCACCGCCGCCCTGCGCGCTGTATCGTTCGGCGTAGCGAGCGGAGATAAGATAGCGCAGTCGGTTATCGACTCGCTTACACACTTGGTTCACCTGCGAGCTACTCTTATCACGGCCTTTTATCTCTGACCTCTGCTCCGCGAACCGTCGTTGATATCGCGCGCGCCACGTTTACGCCATGCACGGTAACAGGAACGCCAGCCAGTATATATGCACGACGACGGTACCTATAATGTCTACATCGCGATGGCGCGCGTCCACATACGTTCCCTCGGGTGTTTCCCTCCCTTCGTCTCTCCTTTCCTCCTCTTTCTCTCTCTTTTTGCCTCTTTCCTTTCGTCTCTTTCTGCCGTTTTTCCGCTAGGATTTCTTGCTCGTCCTTTGCCTGGATACGACTTCAGACAGGGTCAACGGACTGACGTGACTTTTGGTATCAAATATACTCTTGATAAGATATTGGATGATATCGCGAACCTGTACTTTAATACGCGGATCTATATTCCCCGCGAGTGTCGCTCGAAATACACCGAAATAGCCCCGCCGAGGTGTTCGGCTATTTTTATTTACTCCACTTCCATCGTGAAAAATAAATAGATTTCTATCTAGGATACTTATAAAAAGTCAGAAAATGAAGAAAGTTGTCTCATTGATTCGATTTTATTTATAAATTAATTTAGAAAGATGTACACCCCTAAATATAGGAGAACTATATATCTCTCTCTTTCTCTCTCTCTTGACACGGCGTTATAATTCTCTTGACAACTCGGCGTGACTTTTGATATTTATTTTTTTCTCTCCCCCCCGATTACAGATACCCTACGTCCCAATTTTCAGAATCGCCTTCGTTCCATCATCCTCATCCTTCGCAACCAATGTTGCGATCTCGTTCCACCTCTTGTCACGTCTTTTTCTCTCTCTTTCTTTCTTTCTTTCTTTCTCTCTCTCTGTCTTTCTCTCTCTCTTCACCTGTTTTTAGCTTGTCTTCGTTCTAGAGAAGATGCGATCTTGTCCACCGACCACGCCTTCGCGGCGCACCGCGTGCATCGATCTTGTCCCCTTCGTCCGCAAACCTCGTCGTCTCCCACCACATACCGTAGGTGAGAAAGAAGGGAAAAACGAAGGTCGTAATACATGGTTCCACGGTCTCTTCGGGGAGGCTGGCAGTCGCTGACTCGGTGGCGACTTCGAGTTCTTGACCGGCATCTTGGTCGTTACTCTCGTAAAGTGAATCTCGTTTCGTTGCTGCCGATCGCGATCTATTCCTTCCCTCGCCGCTTATCTTACCTCCGATAAAACGGACACTTCCGTCACCATCTTTGACGTTCCTCGTCGCGCATCGGTGCCTCGCAAAAAAAAAAAAAAAAAATCGATTGCGCTCGACCGGAACGTCATAACCGCGTGTTATTTCGCGTGCATTTCTTAGAGACCGCGCGATTTCTCGCGCGTCCTCCGCCTCGCGATCGTTTCTTGCGCTTCTAAGTACACATTTGAAATTCTCGCGCGGAAAACTGGTTCAATATATCACGTAGTATTTCATTTGTTCGAATCGGTTTTGTTTTGTATCTCGTAAACGAGAGTTTTTGTATCTCGTAAACGTTGCTCTCTCTCAACATCGCCGCGAATGGGTTCGCTACTTTGTTACGACGGTCAATAATGATATCTCTGATCGCAAAAACGCTTCGTTTACTGTGAATCGGTTGAAGTCGGGGGGTTTTTTTTATCGCGATGTCACTTATTTTCTGGTGCGTCATTATCGCAATAGCCGTGCGAATCTTATCGAGGAACTCTACGTGACATGTGACAACGAGGTCTATCTATCGCGTTTCGCGAGTATAAATAGCTTCTAAAACTTCAGCTTACGCTAAATTCTCGTCTCTTACACACGATTCAGATTCATGGACTGAAGAAAATTTTGCCAACGCTTTGTCCGACAATTCTTTCTTCGAATCTCGATTCGCGCGGTTTTCTTTTTTTTTTTTTTTTTGTGTTCTCGCGCGGTTCTTGTCAAACACTTTTCGTACACCGTGCTACTCACGCGGTTAAACTCGCCTTCTATCTTTCTCTTTGTTTCTCTTTAGGCGCTCGTACTGAGAGTGTACGGCCGTGTATGTGTGTACGTATGTATGGCGAGCGGCAAACAAGAGGGCAGGTGGAAGGTTGTGCAACCTGTTGCTCCGTTGCTGGGACGAGAGCGAACAGTAGGATGAGTTCGTTCGGGTTTGGTTGCGGGTCGGCATGAGACGGCACACCGAAGGAACATTCCGCCCGTGGGTATAGCAATCACAATGGGGCGAGTCTCCCTTCACACGTACACGCACACATACGCGCGCTCTCTCCATATATATCCTCGTCGCGCTCTTTTCTCTCTCTTTCTTCCGCTCGTTCTCCTCTTTTCCGCCGGTTCATCTCGTTCTCTTCATCTCCTTCTACCTTCACTCCACGATACTTGTACTCTCCTCCCGAACCATCTTCTCCAACCCTCCTTCTTCTTGGACGTCGCGCCCTCGGGACACGATCCCGATCTGACGTGATTTGCATAATTCCAGTATCCCCGCCCAGGCGTTCAGCTGCTCAATTATTAGCTGGAATTTAAG